GCGCACGCCCTCCGTTAATTTAACGGCAAATAGCGGTGAAGAAAAAGTGAGAGCCGGATTCTGCGGACGGCAGTACGGCAAACAGCGGACCGGATGTTACCGGACGAATATCACACTCACTTTTACGAACCGGACGCAACGGAGCGGACGGTACCCGAGTGTGGCCACCTCTACTTCAGACCAGTGTGGTATTGGGCAAATGCTCTGTACATAATTCTGTGTTGACGGGGAGGGCAAAGTTTTGCAAATTCTATGTGCTTGCTGTTTGCATAGAGCATGTCCACATGGCCAGCAGAGGCTATGGTAGTGCTTCTTTTGGGCATCAATGAGTGTTCGTTGGAATCCAAAGAAATGTGCTAGAGCGTATGGTAGCAATTTGCGAGCGATGTGTCACTCAATTTTATAATATTTGGCAAACTTGTGGCGCTTTGTTCTGTCATCGAAAATAAACTTCCGAATGCTCTCACCTATTGAAATATATGATGCGTTCCACGACTACATTGGACGTGAGACACTGAGGGGTGTGTCCTTCATGTTAGGTGACTGAATTTATGTAGAACCTGCATGAAATAAACAAATTGCAATTAATATGCATCGTCCATCGATCGAGGGCTGTTGTAGTGGCACATCTACCATATGAATCTCCATTACACTGGCCGCATAAAATCTTTTTCCACTTTTTGGTGTTTCATCTGCATTTTCTGTGGATCGCGATCAAGGATACGAGATTGTTGAACCAGCGACTCATAAGGGACTTGCATCTGCTCGCTGGACGGATCTCCTTTTGGGACAACAATGGTGAGCACATGCATGCCGTTGAGCTCTGATCCGAACGCTTAGATGTGGCTCAAAAGCCTAGAATGGGGTTCATCAAAGTGGCGAACCGGTGCTGGTGCCCCAGGGAAAGCGGAATAACACAGTGCTGCATGGAATTTTCTCATTTTTCTTCACGGCATTATGCCCATATTCTGGAGCAAGAGTGGTGGAATAACCTAAAGCTTGAATCGTCACTTGTAAGGTCATGTACGTTGCTGGGTGGAAGGAGGGGGGATTTCGCAATTAAAACAAAAACTGCAAGGTGCGCCATGTTGATATGGTGACAAGCCTTGTGAAATATGAAATTTTGGCACGTGCCGCAAATGTTCTATGTGCAGCATCCTGAGCAAATGCAAAACTAAGCACATGAACGGAGAGATGAATGATGATCAGTGATGTCAAAAATGCCCGCCATGGCGTGCAAATTAGATTGAAATGCTCAGGCCAGCTGCCATCAGACGATGATCACATGTTCCTGGGGAAATCGATACACCTGTCGGTGTCCCGGACCATCATGAATGAACGCATTCCATACATTGCAAGGACGGCGGACTGGCACTACGGGCAAAGGGGGCGTCCGTAAAGCATCCAAGGGCATCGAACACGTCAGCGCAGTGCGCAGACGTTTCGGAGCGGCTTTTGAAGATCGCCCGAGGCTCCCGGACGATTCCGCGCATTCCCATACACGGCTAGAGTTTCCGAGGCGCTCGGACCCGTCCTGAGCATCCGAGGCCTCGGATGTGACCGGGCATGCGCGGAAACTCCAGTTCCCCGGACGTCCGGGGAATGCGCGGACGAGCCATCAATTGGTGCAGCAAATGGGCGAACAAAAAAATGATGGCATAAGAGGAAATACGAAAACATATGGCCGTCAAATTTCACTTACCTATATGAGCAATAGATTGCCTATGTCCGGTGTTGGCCTTCAGATGTGGCTCATTACTTGTCCAAAGCAACGAAATTGTCTTTATAGCTTGTTCTATATTTCGGACAAGTGGAGTGCTCTTCTATGGTCGCTTTGTTATTCTCTCTTGTTCAAAGCATCGGTTGCTTTCATATGCAACACCAGCAGAAAACAGCCTTTTTGCGATGCCAGCTGCGATGCCATTTTGACACAAATTGATGCCATCACAGCCCCTTTTATGCCATCGCACTCACTGTGACGGCATCGATTTGTGTCGAAATGGCGTTGCAGCTGGCATCGCAAACAGGCTGTTTTCTACTGGTGCAAAGTAACAAGTCGTTATGTGCATTTCGCTAATGCCAATATATTATAAATGCAAATAGAATCATACGGCTATGCAGAGAAATTTCAGTGAACACATTGTACTCCTCAGTCAGGAGCCCAAACTGGCTCCCTTCAAACGAGAAAACATGTACAGGATCTTACAGGTGAGCAGGAAAGCGATCGTACCCGTGTTTCAAATTATTGATTCGTTGGTGCAGATGAAGTCTAATTGCTTTTCAATGCTTTGCTGATTGAGTGAAGTGTGTGTTATCTCCCTTCTCCAAGTTCCAGATCTTTCCGCATGTGATTACTCTTTTGAGATTTACCTTCTTTTTCAAGGTTTGGTAGAGCCATGGCTGCAAGGTAGGTTATTGTGAACATGATTGTCGAGGCAGGGATCATGATAAAATGAGTGCAGAACGATTCTTTTATGATGCGCTTGCCACATGGCATTTTGTTTTTGTTCACACAGGTATCAATGGTACACGTTGAAGTAGTAGCGTAGTCGCAGCTGTGTGCTTCGGTTCATTCAGCCACTGAGAGCTGAAAATTCAACCTTGCACACGCTAATAGCACAAACAGTGCTCTTCCCTCGTAGTATGAGGAAATAACACTGCACCTTTAGGGATCAAAGCCGCAAATGTTATCGCGTTTGCCCAAATCTAGTGTTGCTATCTTGATATTCATTGGCGGTTGGCGTTGCGGGCACAAATGTTTGCTTGTGATGAAGATTTTGCCTGATGTGGCATTGTTGCTTGCAGCAATGTCAATGCTATATCCGCAGCTGCTTCTGCACCTAAGAGGGTTTCAATTAACATCTGTATATCAAGGAATATACGAAACACGCCCCAATTTTTAATTCCACGATGCAGGGGATTGGCCTCTTTCAGTACAATGGTCTGAATGTTCTATCACCATCACACAGTTGAGAAGTATCCTGCCAAACTACGAGGAGTGAGTCGCCACACATTCCGACACACTGCAGCAGGAGCAATAATTCTCAATAGTAAACTGAGGAACTGCAGCAGTTTTTCTGTACCCAGTGTACCCAGTCTCCGCTGCTAATTGCGGGTGTTCCAAGATGGGTCGCAGCAAATTTCACGAAAGCAACAGAGGGAGCACGATAATGAAGCATACGTTCATATCATGTGCAGATGCAAAGCGTAGAGCAGAGTTCATTGCTCAAGATGGCATGTTGTCTGCATCAATCAAAAGAGCGGGATTATGCAAGATTTCATCCGTGGCCATCGACGAAATGACATGTCTGTGGTTCTGGACGGAATTTGGAGATAATTTCCATGGCTGGCACCCAATCACGCAGTCAGTCTGTCAATCAATCAATCCCCAAAATTTCTTTACTTAGGAAATATTACCCACCAAGACATGGGTTAATCGGCAGCTGCCCTGTTACGCTAGGGGAGGGTATTGTCAATGATTCTTTGCATAAGAAATACCCTGCAAGCAGGCCTTGGCTTTACGTTGACGTCTACCTTTTTGCGGTTACGTTCTCATGCATAAAAACGTAAATCTGCAAAAGGGCCTACTTTTAGGGCTACATTTGTGCCAAAATTTATGTATTTTGCGGGTGTTTATGTGTAAAAAACGTACTTACTATTTTTATGAGTAAATACACGTAAGCACTGATTGCTTACACCTTAAAAACCAAGCCTTCTTGCAAGGGCCGTTCGATAACAACGCATTCACAAATGCCAAGTTGGTACAAAACTTTGTTGCGAGGGGAAGGTGCCCTACCTGAGAACAAAATGTGCATGGTTTTTGATGCGCCTGCCTTGCTTTCTTACAAAATGACGATGCCCTGCATCGGCGTTGGGGCATATGCGTGCCTCTTTTGTTCCTGAAATGGGACATTCTTGCGGTTATGTTCCAATCCTGTGTCAATATGCTGAAGCAAAAGGGAATTTCCCTTAATGTTGATTTTGAAGCAAAGCTCAACATTACCAATTGTCCCTGATATGCTTTCAAGCAGCGTTTTTGGAGCATCGTGAGCCCTCCGTTGCCTCTGACGCCAGTCTGCGCACACCTGCGCATGGACAGCGGGGAACGATGGTACTCTTTGCTTCGCGGGCGCGTGTCGAGGTGCTGATCGTGGCCGCAACGACGCTGAAGATCTCCGCCACCTTGGCCTCTGCGCCAAACACAGGTGCGAAGTGTCCGGCATTGTCACCGTGCATGGGTCTAAACATTGGCTTTGCTCACATTGTCGGGGACTCTAGCACGCCTATTCGCCTATAGCAGAAGGGAGCAGGTTGCAAATCCTTGTGATTGTCGTCCACTGCCTGCCTGCGGCCGTTGGATGGATGGGCGCAATGGTGATGGATCCATGCCAACCTTACTTGCATTGTGTGGCCTGTAGGGGAGCTGTCGCTGGCGTGGGCGTTGTGCTTGTTGGTGGGACTGGCGACGTTTCAAGAATTTCACGTGCAAGCCCTCAAGACAGCCACCTACTTTCCCAGACCCTCAGACTCCCATGGTCTCGCCCAGGGGGCCGCCGCGCTGCCCTGGGTCTTTTCTTCTCTGATGCTTGTCGACGGGAGCCGGAATGGTGAGCGATGGTCTGACAACCGAAGGCCTCTGGCCAAATAACTGCACCCCATTTTCACGCAGAACACGTTTGGGTCTGGGAATATGTTTCAGCGACATTGCCCAGACGCTGCTTGCACGAGTCGTCTCTGGCAAGGTAAGATTTGTTACAAAGAGAAAGAGAAACAGGTTATACAAAGGGCACCCCCTCCTAGGGTCGCCGGCAGGGTGCATGGCTGTTTAGGTCCTTAGTGACAAATGAAGACAACTGAGTTGCCAAATGGCTGCAATTGGATGGCTGTAAGAAGGATCCGGGAATGAATGTCCCATGGCATTGCCCTTTCTGCAGGATACAGCTCCTTTCCCCTCCGCTGCACCCTTGTGTCCTCCAGCCTTGTCTTGGCACTCCTCTTGCTGCTGCCCTCAGGCCAGGCTGGCACCCCAGATCAAGGCCTTGCTTCGGATGAAGCAGATGCAACTGGAAAAGTGAAGAAACACAACGATGGTGAATGTAATGCTGATTCCAGTGACCGATGCGCAAGAGTTTTCAATGCAAAAGGAGGCTTGTTGCTATCAAGGATAGGCCTGTGCTGTGCCTACATGGTGGTGGCTGGACTGGCCTTGACTTCGAATTTGAGTGCCAAATTGGAATCCCAAATTGAAAACACTGGGTTCTATAGCCCAGCTGCAGATGCAACGACAGAGCGCTTAGTGCATTCTGGCTCTTCAGATGTTGGGCGTTGGCCCCTCCCTCAGTCCCCAGGATTGGCACCTGTCACAGTCCTTTTGGCCACAGCCCTGTTGGCTGGGATCACGTTCCATGCACTTCTGAAGAGGGCAAAGTTCTGTTTCACCATTGGGGAAGCCATAGTTGTGGGTGAGGCCTCTGCACTGCTAGTGTCAAAGTTTCTGGGCCTCATTGACTGGAATGCTTTGGCATTAAGGGATGTGTTTAGTATTGATTGCCTTGTCCGGAACTTGGACTTTTCGACACTGCAGGCGACCAGCAACTTTGTTGTGGTTCTCCTGACTGTATCAATAGCTATCTTGGTCCCAGCGGCAGGCTGTTTGCGTTGCATCTTTCGAACGCCAGATGAAATGCAGTTAGAAGGCAGCATGTTGTTGCTGGTGTTGTGCTGGGTCCTGGTTGTCATCCTCAGTGGTGTGGGATGTGTGCTTGCGGGTGCCCCAGCCATCTGTGTCTTGAAGTTCGCATTCTTTTCAGGGAGCCACCGGCTCGTCATGGGCTGGTGGGTTTTCGTGCTTGTAGGGGGACTGCTTGTAGCTGGATTCCTTGGCCAACAGCAAACCACCCACAGGGTGATCCTCCGCAAATGGTTCCACATCCTTGCCGTGGTGTTGTTCTTGCCTGCTGAGGTAACAATTACAGCCTGTTGCTGTTTGAATTGCAGTTATCCTTGGATTTTGTCTGTCAGAAGCACATGGCAAACCACAGGCCCTTGCACCCCGCAGGTTGCCTTTAATTTTGTTGCAAGCATACTGCATGCAAACGTCTCCAACACTGTTCCCAGTAAGTTGCGAATACATTTTTTACAGCGCAAATACATCATGAACTGTGGCTTGCGCATACAGTATTGCTTAATGTAGTGGATGTGCATGTTGACACGTTTCTCTGGATGAGAAAACCTGAACCGAAGTTTCTGCTTGGGTCTTCCAGCACCTGGATGCAACTCAGTCTTCAATCCTGCTCTGTTGTTAGTCAAATTCAGCACCTGTGCTTTGTGTGCAATACAGTCTGCTGCCAGGAACAATGAATGTTGGTGGCCACATCCATGGTTCTCATCATGTGCACTCTGACCGCAACTGACTGCTAGAGCAGCAGTTTATTATGGCTGTCATTCACAACGTGCATTGCCCAACGTGCTGCTGACTTTGCCCCGACGCTTGCTTCCAGATCTTGGCACCCAAACTGCTGCACATAGCACTCGCTATTGCCCTGGTCTTGCTGATGCTGCTTGAGGCCATACGGTTTGGATGCGTTCCCATCTTAGGGCCAGCAATTCATCAATTCATGGCTCAGTTCACAGACGTCAGGGACTGCGGACCCATAATATGGACACATGCATCGCTATTGATTGGGATGGCAGCACCACTGTGGATGGCTCCCCTCGATGTCAATGCTGGCACAGATGCTAGCGGCACAATTCTGTCAAGCAGCAGTTTCTTGCCACTATGTGCATCTCTGTCTGGGATTGTGTCGCTGGGAGTGGGTGATGCTTTCGCAGCGATTGTTGGTACAAGGTAAGCACAGGCACTGGCATATTGCATGCTCTTGCTGGCCTCACATTTGGGAGTACTACTGATGAACTGATGCCATCGGATCCACAGACACTGCACTTGGAATGTAAACGTTTGTCCAACTGGCAGCACAATACCAAACTGCACAGCAATTGCAAATGAGCTGCAGCAAAGATATTCAAGTGCCTGCTTTTGGAGCAGTCTGCTCAGGATGAGATACCTCTGTGTGACCCTTTTTGATGCTTATGCGGGAGTCATTGCCTGTTGGCTGAATGGTGAGTGGGCTACAATCGGCCAAGGCGATAACACAGCGATCGAAGTGTAAATGGGGCTCTCTGTTCATTGACGTGGCAAGAAGTACGGACCTTGGTTTTTCTCATCCTTGAAGACCTGGCAACTTTCTTGGGTCGTGGGACTTGAAAGGTGATAAAGGCTCGGAGACGCAGCCACTCACACCTTTGCAATTTTTTCGCCCTCCTTGTCGCACTGATGTGTCCAGCGTGCAGCTGTGACCTGGCTTTTGTGCTGTTCAATTCAAATCGTTGCGTTTTCGGCATGCTTTTCCGTATGTTTATGCTTGGAGCGAATTCTCTCAAGTCGTTTCCCCCATCTGTCACATTTCCTCATTGACTGACTGCTGGTGCGGCTTGTTGCGCCGTGGCAGGTACGGTCGCATGCCCCTCTGCTCTGGGACCAAGAAAACAGTGGAGGGCACCACCGCGGGCGTCCTGTCAATGCTGGCAGTGTGGTGGGCTCTGGGTTGGGTCGCTGGGCGACCAGCAGGCGAACAACTGTCCCTCACCTTTGTCTCGCTGGCCACCGGTCTGTTTGAGGCCACGAGCACGCAACTTGACAACATATTCCTACCTCTGCATTGCTTTGCTCTCTTGAACATGTGCTCCATCAGCTCGGGCGGTCCAGTGTAGGGGTGAGCAGTTGCTTGACAGGTGATGCTCTGCTCTCAGGGTGTCCCCCATTCTAAAGGGCTGTCGTGAAGGAAGCAAAACAGCCCACACACTGGGCACGCACCTCCCTAGAAAGGATTCTGCGAAACTTAGCACGCAGCCTGTGCTATCTTGATATGTCACTGGCTCAGTTAATGGGAGCTAGACTGTGCATCCCGATAAGGGTACCTGGCCATGATGCCAGTTGCGTTGATGTCAGCCCCTTCATCAGCAAGCAAGCTCACAATGAATGAACAGCCTTGTCCAGAAGCAGCCGTGATAGAGATCATACCATCCTGGCATGGAGCATTTGCATTTGGCCCTGCTTCTAAAGGGTACGGACGACGCTGGAGTGGCCGTTTTCGAGGATACGTAGAGTGCTGTGCCTCTTTGTCGTGAGGATGTGGATGCGAGCCGGAATGCCTGTGGGAGTGTATGAAACCCACGATGGCATCCAAGTGTGCCACGCCGCAAAATGCGCAATGCCTTGACCAGGATATTGGCCACATAGCAAGATTCTGTGGCCGCAGCGAGGAAGGCACCATCCCCAAAGTTGCGTTGTGTCAATGCGTGATGTGTCCTCAGCTCATCACAGAGATCAATTCTTCAGTCGGTTGTCCTCCGCCGATTTGTTGGTGGCGCTGCCGATAGATTGCTCTGCGGGTGCTCGAACGCAGTCCGAAGGATGTGTCGTTGAAGTCACCAGCACTATGCAACGCCGCGTATCGCCTCTCTATCGGAGTGTTTTTCGCCATGATTATTTGTAAACTAACGAATTTCCACATCTTCTTTCGCTGTGGGAAATGCTCTGAAGGTCTGGAGCATCTCAGGCATTATCGGTTGATCGGGGCCCCATCGCGGAACGCGCTTCTATTGCAAGAATCATTACCATCTGGCTTTGTCGCCGAGTTGGGCCATTTGCGATCCATCTTATCGATGCATCTTGTGCTTCGCAGATTACGGAATGAGTTGATCCATCGCAGGAGCGCTGAAAGATGCCACCCCATGACTGGAGTTCATGCAGAGCCGCCAAGAAGATCAGCACACAGCGGTGGCAACATGGACGTGTATCGAACAGGTGACTCGCTTAAAAACGTGGGCGGGCGTTTGTGACGCAGCAAGCATCCTGTGGGCAATGACCACAGAATCTGTTCCTCGCGACCATTGGCAGTTCAACCTATCTATCCACAGGCCGCGCTGAGGGCGTTGGCCAAGGGATCTGCATGCTCAGGGAACATTCTCAATGAGATCCAAAGATTGGATTCAGATGTGCAGCCTTGGCGGTGGGCAACGGGTCGAAGGGCAACATCCCTACTGAAGTAGAGGCCAATTTCCACCGCCTATCTTTCACTGCTCCCGCCCGCCTAGGGCTGTCGTGGCGACTGTGCAAAACTCAAACGATCCGTCTCTCACTCTCACAATTACTATCGCCCACCAACTATGTTCTGCGTGAATGGCCTAAATGAGTTAAGTTCAAAGCAACTCGCTATTCAGGAAGCCCGCATCGCTCCCTGTTTTGCCAGGGAATCCAGATCGCTGTGTGCCTTTCGCCATTGATGCCATCACCAGGCAGGAGAGCCTGACCTCCTGGCATTAGCCCTTGAAGTCTGGGGCAAGAGTAAACCAGCGGCTGCATCACCATTCCCCAATGTTCTGGGCGTTCACCACACCCACGCACTATTCGACGCCGCAAGTCCATCCAATGCTCGCAAGGGAACGCCCCTTGGCTGTCTGTTGCCAGCATCCCAAACACATAGCGCAACAGACAGCAGCTGAGCGTCACGGTTGTGCCCAGGTGCAATGTCGCTGCACGGTTGGTCGCTCACAATTGCGATGGCAGCGTAAAGATGCAAACTCGCCACCATTCAAATGTCTCCCTTGTTCTTCAGCCGTTGTATCTCATCCCTCAGAAAGCCCACCACCCTCTTTGCCATTTCTTGACGAGGCCACCTCGGGCTCCACCGTGCCATCGTCAAGGGCAGCACAGGGCCTTGGCGGGTGGGTCGCCTGCCACCCACACGCGATCTCAGCACTGCAGGGGCACCAGGGGAACAACAGCCGACAGCTGCCGCACACATAACAACGCGCGACACAAGCGAAGTCCTGCCACCCATGAACAACATTTGAGAGCATGTTCCTGACCGCACAACTTTGCTACAGGAGCCTTGCTGCCTTGCAGGGAAACATCTCGGAGACTGCGGTGCAGGCAGGCAGGCAACATGACGTCACTTCACGCTGCCCAGAGCAAAGAGCATGCACACCACCGCGACGGCGTTCTTGCTGTCACTGTTAACAACTGAACGCAGCAACGCCGTCGAAGCTGCTGGCATGAGAGTGCCCATCCATCCTTGGTCCATCTTTCGCAAAGACCCAGCGGCTGCAGGTACGAGTACATTGCAGGGAACAATTCGCCCCGTCGGGGCATCAGTGCCCATGCAATTCGCAGGCGATGGCTGGTGCAGAGGCGGCGCAGTGCGACATGCCACGCCAGCTGAAACAAAGTCCATTCGGCCATGCCGTCATTGCCAGAGGGACACATTGCTCTACTCCCCTCCACACAACGCATCCTCGGCGCGGCACAGCGGCCTTTGCCCTGGTCCCAGACTTCTGCGACTATTAGCAACTTGGGCTAAAACCTGCACTGTGTGTGACGGCGTCATGCAGCCCATATTCTCCACGACAAGTCTCGAGTGCAGCGTCCAAAACGCCATGGTACATTGCACACTGCTGAAATCCATGTCGATCGGTGCCTGAAAAAGGAGCGAACAGATGTCTGCTCGACGCTGACGCATCCTCCGCAGCCTGCCTGCGAGGTTTGCGCTGTATTGTGCGCTCTATCAGGAGCAAATTTTGAATGCTAAGATCCACAGAGAGATATCTCTTTCACGAGGGTTTGGGTACTGCTGCTGGCTGGGGTCCCCACCTGGCATTCTGGACCCATATCTCTGGTTTGTCTTCAGGGAACCCCAAACCCACAGACAGGAACAGCAGGAACTGGACGTGTCCATGAACGACTGGAAAGCAAGCAGTTGGCTTCCTTCCATAGCTCGTCTCCAGGGGCGGACCCAAAACTTCCTTCAGACCTTCGAAAATCATTCCCCGGTTTCGTAGCCGCTCGATGGTGTTTTGAACCTGCTGTTGGAGGCTGGTGACGACTGTTGGAAGGAATTCACTCATGCAGTCATCGGCTCGCCATGAGGGGCAGTCGATCGGAGGGGCAAGACCAGTCAGCCAAGCGGGTGCCTGCGCCATCGCGCCATGCACAGTAGTTGTGAGTTCACAACGGTCATCTCCTCAACACGTCATTCTCACATCTCAGCAACCTCGAGAGCCCAATTCTCAAGCCAAATCACACCACCCCATAGTCAAATATCGGCACGCTTGCCCATATGGAAGTGAAAAACACTATACAGAGTCTGTCAGACTTGACACTTTGAACCTGAAATGGATAGAGGGGCGCAATACGCTTGATCTCTAAAACTAGACATAATCTATGCCATCTACAAGCATTTTCCCAAAGACAAAATATGACAGTCGCCGTGAGCCTGCAGCAGGAATATTTCAATAGCATGGTCTGCATTGTTGGCGATTTTCCCTCTGACATCTGGTAAGAAAGTATGGGATCAATGGACAGACTGCGTACCTGCAATGACACAGTTGGGGGACTTGTGCTGAAAACCCCAAAAGAGATCAACAGCTTGAAGGGGTTGCACGGTGACGATGGTTCTCCATAGCAAGGTGGATAGACCAACGAGTGCAAGTCTTTGAGATTGACGTCCTCCAAAGAAAAACAGAAGCATGCCTGTCTGTGGAGCCACAGAAGCATTAAAGCCATTGAAGCAGATGGGAAAGAACAGGGCAGTGATAGGCAATAAGAATGTGCAGTGCTCAGTATACTATGAGTGTTGCACTTGATAAAGCAAGGCCCTTGTTCCCAAAGTGGTTCAAAAGGGTGTGCACTCCACTGTTCCAGCCAATTGTCTAACATTCAGGAGGAAGTGAGCAGAGGAGCGCACACACAACAGACACTTTGGCATCCTGCATGCTGTGGCTCTTATTTGTCCAGCTCCCATTCCGAGTTTATGCAAAGCAGGGCATTCAATAATCAGGGACATGCCAACAATGTCTACGAGCATTTGGCCGCCATCATGTCAAAGTGCAAGCAACCGCATGTCAGCGTTACCTCTGTCCTTCACTTCCATTTTCCAACAGAAATTCCATGGGACGGTCAGAAGGTAATGTTTCGAGCTCAAATTGTAGCCGTGCATCATTCAACGCCCGCATCTTGGCAGTCTGGTGATACCTGCAGAACAATTGCAAGTCTTGATGTTATCAAACGACTTGACATGTATGTGACTGGGGTGAGTTTGAAATGGTCCCAGGCACAAGTGCTTCAACTAGCGTTAATTCTGAAGTGCTTTCTCGACTTGGAATTGTCAGCCAAGACACAAGAGCAGAATTCTCCGAAAGATGAACCTTCATCCTCCACAATCAGAGACAGCTCTTTGTGCTTCACAATCAAACTGCTTCTTGTTGAATGCAAACATCGTTTGTTGATGCTCAACAGATATTGTATTGTGTGATGTTCAAATGGAAATACTACCTCTGTTTCATATGTCTTGTCCGTTATCCAATCTTGCCAGAACTTTCCAACATCAACTCAATTAGTAAATCTTCTACCCGGTTTGCATTCCTGGGGTCGATTTTGCAGTAATAGGGACTTTGTTTAGAATGCTCATCACCATACAGCAAGACATGCACAGCCTTATTGACATCATCCCTGCACATCTTCGTCAGGGCCTAAATTCCCTGTAGTTTGTGCTCACCTTATCCCCATGTGTGCCAGCCTATTTTCCCAAAATCATTCAAGAACCTTGCTGCAGGCAATAAATGTGCAGTACTACAACCTTTCAAGAAATTTTGGCATAATTACAATCACACTTTCTGTGGAACGTCTCTTCCGCTGTGCTGACTCATGCCTTCGGAATTGTCAATTTAAACGATTGGCCATACCGGCACCAACCTAGGCAATTCTTGGGTTAGCGTCATCATGAACGGCCTTCTAACATTGGTGCACCGGTTAGGTCAATAATTTAGGTGTCTCTTGGCCTTCAGCCACAATATATGCACAATACCTGTTGACACTTAAAAATCTGTGGCAAGCTTGTATCTTTTGCTGTTGATTCTGCTTTGAATTTGACCGAATCTGCAGTGTATACACAACCAGGCCAAACCACCAGGCCAATGATCTTTTCCAGAGACAACTCAGCTCGATACACCTCCTTTAAAAGGCAAGTCGAGCTTCCCATGCCCTGCTCTAGGTCCTGACACAAGGAAACTTGGCGTTGGTGCTCCTCTTAGCATATCTCAAGAACGGCAGTGCTGTCTTCCATGCTGAATGGCTCTACACATAGCTATCAATATGACGAATTGAAGTTGTTTTGTCAAATTTTTTGACTCGCATGCTGTGACCTCTGTTGTGCGACTTGGAAAATGGACAAGACTTTTGGAACAAATGTGGTATTATTTAGGTTCAATGCGATCAGGGCTCAAGTGCTTTTGCTGTTAGAGCAGCATCCAGCCTTTAGCCATGGAAACCTGCTCGTTTGAGATTGGTGGCAAAGTGCACAAACAATCATCAAGATTCAAGCATCTCACAATTGATGGTGCAGTCCTTCACCAAAACATTCTTTCACTTCGATATCAATCAGAGCAGTTTGAACCAGACAAGCAGCACAGATTTGCCCAAGCCACCGAGCACGTGAAAAATAATGAACAGGTGGCCTCAGCCACAACAGTTTGCTTGCGGAGAACTGTAGCTCTGTGGTACCAGTTTGAGGTCTAAGCAATTTGGGCAATGAAAGGGTTGTCTGCTGCAGCAGTAATGTGCCATTGGTTTCAGCAACAGCTGCTGGCATCAACTAGATGCCAATACAACACAGAAACCTTGCATTGCAGCAAATGCTTGTGATGCATATTCCAGTGCATTGGGCAGACAGCAGTCACCAACTAGAAGAGGAATGGCCAGAAGCAGTGCGGCTCACCTGTACCCCTGCAGCAGAGCACTTGTCACTCTCTGGAGGCTCATGCAATCTCCTCCAGCCCAACTGATAAGACTCTCCCTAATTGGATTTCGGTGGGCTTCCTCCAAACATCTGGGATGCAGGGGGAAAAATGTGTCATCGTTAAAAATGAAATCTGGCGCCATGCTTGGCATGTGAGTGTCAAATATCACCTGCACATTCCAGGCAAACAGATTGTTACAAACAGGCACTTGAGGGATGTATGACGGCTTCAATTGGCAAGAGCCTATGCAGGCTCATTAACGATAGTCGATGTTTCTGGTCAACAAAAGATGTCTTGCGATGCAAGTTGTCTGTTGAGGGGCAGTTGAAGAAGAAACGACCGACACTTGATGACAGTCCGACAGTCCTTCGTGGCCAAATGGGTGTCATGGCAGGGTTATGTTAATACGGATATTCGCCATGTACATTTGTTGAAGCAGGCCATGGTCGAACCTCGATGCTCTCAGAGGCCTTTAGGGTTGAACACTAAATTCATGTCACAGGATATGAGCTTTTCCAGAACCGGTACAGTTCAATTTGGACATTAGCATGCATCCACATTGCCCTCTGGACATTGTGTGTGTGGGCTTATGCCTGGTATCGCCTTTCAGGGTGTGTTTTTCCCATTTTCGGCGGTCTAACTAAAGGACGTCCCCCATTGGAGATTTGCAGGGGACTGCGAAGCTGCTGATTGGCATAAAATGCAAATCCACTCCTTCAAAGTGTTTCACTGTTCCACACAGCCAAGAGCATGAGGCCGTTCCTGCCAGGGTTGCCTTCCCACTTCTGCAAAACTAGCCTTCCCTGCATCGGCCAATTCCCGCTTCCAATGCCGTCGTCGGCAATCCGCGTGCAGCGGCGCGACACCAGAGAGGATCTCACCATCTCTCGCCCACCCTGAGGGCGGCAATCCTCGCCCTCATCACTCGCCGGCCGCCCTTCCCGGCAATCTGGGATTTGCTCATCCAGAGAACGAGATTCGACGTTGCAGACACAGTGTTGGCTACACACACTAACTGGGCACCAAGACAGAGCACAATCTTCCTCTGGCGCTCCGCCTAGCCTCACAGAAATCAATCGCTTCAGCGCGTACAGTTCACCGACCTTCCAGTTGAGGTGAGTGTTGCACCACGGGATCCGGAGGTCGAAGCAGCTCGGTGCCTCCCGGCCGCCCGTCGCCTGCACGCCGACCTGTGAGCGCAGCCGGAGGGCCTCCAGCTGGCGCGACCAGATCGAGCCGGCCTCCATCCGCGGCCACAGCGCAGCCGATCCCTCGGCAACACTCACAACGCAGGCTCCGCCCACGCCCCCAAGCACACAACCCTCTTTGCCTCGCTGGGGTGGCACTCAATGCAATGTTCATGTTGCGTTAATGCTGCATTGATCCGTGCATTCAGCCGCATTATTGAGCCGGTTGACTGAAGCCCCGGCAGCAGTGGCGACTGCCAGTCTCTGCTCCCAGCCGTTCGGGCACCCGCACGCATGTCGACTGGCGAGGACAGGGCCGGCGCCAGCCCCAGCGGGGAGGGCGGCAAGGAGAAGCTGCGCAGGCGCGCACAGCGCCAGCCCACACCCGCCATCTCGGAGATCGAACCCGGTACCTTTGCTCTAAACTGGCGCCCCATGCTGCCCCTCAGCCGGAATTGAACCGTCGCGGACGGGCCTCCGTTTAAGCGGAGCCAGCGGGTGACATCTCCGTTCCATCGTGGAAGCCCTTTTCGATGTTGGGGCAATCGGGATCCACGATTTGGGCTTTTTTCCTGTGGTAGAGAACGGGGAAAGGCTGTGATTTGGGTTGGCGGAAAGGGGCTGGGGGGCTGTGCAGTGACTGTGTGGGCCCCGGTTGTGTGGGTGCCGTCGCAGCGGAGAGCGACGACGACCAGTCGCGCCGGCGCCCCAGGCCGCCCGCGGCGCGGCGGCTGGACCGCGTGCTGCAGGAAACCGAGTCGAAGGAGCTGGCGGAGGGCGGGCGATGGTCGATCTGCTCTGCGGAGGCGGCCACGCTGGTGTGCAGCATTGTGATCTGCGTGGTGGCGGCCAAGTACTTGGAGAACCTACCGCAGGACGCGGACAGGGTGCGTGGGGATCGGGGGGCTGTGCTTGGCGCCGGGCGCCGGGGAGGGATTTGGTGCTGGCTGCCGTCCGGGGGGCCTAAGGTTGGGCCGGAAGCGGCCTGGCGGTATTTGGCCGTCGTTTGGCCTCCCGTGTCTGTCAGCTATGCGTTGGCGCGGACTTGGGCGTCCAAGCGGCCGGCTTCTCGACCAGGGTGATGGTCCCTTTGCGGGGTGATCATGGTGGTGCCTTCTGCCTGCATCGTTCCGCCTAGGAAGCGGAAGGGCTGTCGTTTCGGGAGAATTTGCGGCGTGTCATGCAATGGGGATTCCGCTCTTGATCAAGAATTGTGTAGGACCCTTGCCTGCACTATCGAAGATGGCCCTGTAGGCCCCCAGGTGCAACAGGCATGGCCTTGAGGGACGCATTATTCCGACCCAGGCACTTTGTCTCGTCGTTGTGTCTCTTGTTGCTTTTCCTTTCTGCTGTGGTCCCTTTTTGCAATGGTGGAAGAGCAGGGATAACCCTGTGAATTTGCAATCAATATCCACAACAGTAGTGGCCTGCAACAAAGAACAACAACACATAGCAGGGGAAGTACTTTCGTGGTGTTAAGTTCGCTGTTCAAACCCAGTTACTGGTGTGATTGGCCTGGTACTTGTGCATGGAATGGACCTTACCTGCACCACGGTGGCCCGTGCTGTGTTGTCACTCGAATGCACGATTCCAATGGTGGCAGATTGCTGCCCTTCCACTGTCCTAGGTGAAGACAGACACAGCTGTGTGCTACACATGTGGGGTGCTTTTCATCCCCTGAAACATTGCAGCATTGGCTTTCCTACTTTGCAGAAAGTGTTTACAAAGGAGGAGCTGGCACGTTACGATGGGTCCAGTGGTGGGCCCATTTACCTCGCCTTTGTTGGCCAAGTGTTTGATGTCTCCAAGGGCAAACAATACTATGGTGAGCTGCCCCACCGTCTGGATGCAAGCAGTTATTCAGCAGAGCTGCTCAACTGAACTGCAACAGGTGTGGTGCATATGGAGCAGCACATGTTCAATGCCCATGCCACAAGTTCGGCTCTCCAGCAGATCAACAGTGCACTGTTCTGTGCAGGCAAATCCATCCCCTGAATTTTGGTCACCCACCACAATCCCAGAAGGGGCCCTTGTATGAACTCAGCAAAACTGTGCCAAACGGCATCTTCCATAAAGCTGCTGCATTGTGCGCTGTGTTGCAGTCAATGCAAACCCTGCAAGGAGTGACCACGGACATTTTTACTCTTCCCTAGAATAATGTGTATGGCCAAAAGGGCTTGAAATTGTAGAAGCGTAAAACTTGCGCTTGGGGCGAGACAGACACAGGGCCCGGAGCAGTTCCTCATCAACAGCACTGTCGTTCAAAGGTCTTCTTGGTGTGCATTCATTGTGCGCCTGTGATGGATGGCAGGGGTCCCAATTTTCATGCCTCCGTTGCAGGGAAAGGAGGCGGTTACGACTTCTTTGCTGGAAGGGACGCAACGAGGGCCTTTGTCAGCGGTTAGTTTTAGGGAAATGCTGTGTGTATCAATGTGTGCACCAATGCATTCAAGAGCAGCTGCTACTGCACTTTTGAGTGCAACATCATCCAGAGAATGCTGTCCAGGCTCACTGCCAGTCAATGGAATGGAGTGCATAGCATAGGAGTAGAAGAAGGGACTTGCTTGGAACATCTGATGCATAATTGGATCTGCACTTATGGCTTGATTTAGTGTCTGCACGCATTTGTGGTTGTCTGCATAGCCGTGAATGAAATGTGCCCCTTCTGATAATGCATTTGAGCAATACCCATTCTTTCAATTGGAGAGCGTGAGCAACAAATCTCTTCTGACTCTACAGCTGTCTGTTGAGCATGCTTGCCATAAAAGTCAAGGCAGGCCCTCAACAAGGACAGAGTCAAAAATGCCTCACTTAAACTGCCACACTGCCTCTCTGCCTCACTCAAGCGGCCCCCCGAATTGGGGGCTAGTTTCTTTTGCCATGGTTCTGGCAGCTGGTTTCAAAGCCAGGAAGCACAGTCTCGAATTCTACGTTGCACTGTCATAGTTTACCATCTGTTCCAACAAGGCGCTGAATTCTGATGGGCACTCTGCTGTGGCTGTCATCAGACTAGAAACTGTCATGAGGAATTGTTACTAACATCTCAAGGGCTGCCTACTCACTGATGCGCACAGTGTTATTGCTGACTTGTACCTGCTGAACCAGTTCCAGCGCTGCCCTGCTGCCGTGAATGTGGTGGTCTGAATTGTGCAGGTGATTTTGAGAAGGACCTCACGGACGACTTGACCGGATTTACTCCCGAAGAATTCAGGAGCCTGATGGAATGGAGGTCGTTTTATCACAAAGTAACCAGCATGTGCAGGAACATCTCCCTTAACCATGCTTTTCTTGTCCAGGTGTCCCCTTTTCATGCACATTTTTGGAAGAAGTCGCAAAGCTTCCAGCAAAGTTGCGGGGTGTTCAGAAGTTCCTGTGCAGGCATCCTCATGTGTCAGAAATGCGACAGTGTGGGTTGCCAAGGTCGGCCCAGCAGGCCAGTTAGGTGTGTCAACACAGCCAACTTGTTTTGGGAAACGATGGCCCAGGCAATATATGCCGTTGTGCTGTTCCAGCACAGTGGCAGAGGAGTTCAGGCCCTTTCGCAAGCTCAGCAAAAGAACTTAAGCAAGGGGATCAAATCGAGATTAAGTGATTAATCACGATTTGTTAAGTTGAAATTAAGTGATTTCCTGCCAAGCAGGATGGCATTCGTAGTACAAGGCAGAAGTAATGGAATGGGGTTGTTGATTGGCGATCTTCAACGCATTTGTTTTCTAAAGACAGGTATTGCCTTGATCAGCCAGCTCCTTGTTTCACAGCAAGTGCTATGAAAAATGTTCTTTCATTGACTCTGCAACAAAGCAGTGCAGATCATGGACTTGAGAACAAACCAGATGGTGTTGATATGCACTTGAGCGTGTTAATCTTTTTACCCGCTGTAGTCTGGTGGGGTCAGGGGCGAGGCGCTTGCTACCTCTCGAGAATCTTGTATTGAAAAGACTGGAGCTATGTGGAATGAGTGGTGGCTTCATGTGGAGGTTCTGCTTTTTGCACATTGCTGGCAAAAATAGCTTTGTGATGCTGGCCAGAATACCGATTACAACATGTCGCATTGTGCTTTAATTTGAAAACGGCTTCAAGGAGCGACGCTTGTGATTGCAGTCCAAATAGACTTGGTGCACTGCGCATGGTTTCAGGTGTTGCGCTTGGGCCCATGCTGTTGTGACAACTATAAAACAGCAAAGCCAAGAATAAACACACGTCCAAAGGCACGCCAGCCATGCACCCTGTGCAGTATTGCTTTCTGACATGCTTGCTTTGGAAACACTAAGCTGCTGCCAAGTTCCCGCGTGACCTTCCGCTGCTTGTTGCCATCTTTCCACCCCATCCTCAGACATCCTCTGAAATGCGTCTTGCTGTTCCTCCATCCAGACTGATGGAGCTGTGGTCGCCCTCAGGACTACAAGTACATGGGCAAGGTAGAGGGCCGCTTTTACAACCCACTAGGTGAGCCCCTTGAAGACCTACAAAAGTTCGAAGATGGAGCTGCAGAAGGGAATCGGATCGCTGAACTGAGGAAAGCAGAGAGGGCCAAGTACCCGAACTGCAACTCGAAGTGGTCTCAAGCCAAAGGTGATCGGCTGGTTTTGTTTGCAGTTGCTCTTTGACACCTTTGCTCACCATGGGCAGGGTTTTGCCTCATGGTTTGGACAAGGCCATGTGGTACACAAGATTTCAAACCCACAGACTGTGGTGATAATTTCAGGTACCTATCTCTATACCAGCACATATGCAAACTATCAATATCTGCACGCTGTGGTTCTGGCGTGGTTCCAATCTCCCAGCAAGCCTTGGGCACATCTCACTCTTTTGTTTATGCGAATCTCCTGTCTGGAATGTGTTGTACTTCACTGGTCTGGGTTCTGAAATTGATGTGCTGTGATGGATGCAATATCACCTGTGTTAAAACAGCACTGGGGTGATGGGAACCTGTACAAAGGGTACCTTGTGATCTCCCCAGAGAAATGGGTCGAAAGGTCCACTACTGTGGCTATTGACCATGCATTTTGTCCAGTTTGCTGAGTGGCAAGGTCAGTACATAACGCTGTATTTGTAATGAGCAAGAACTGACATCCTTGCATTGCCACAGCTGCTGCAAATGGCAGCAAATAATGCAGCATATATTTGGCCTCAGGGAAGCAATGCATGCCATCTTGGTTGAAGAAAATGGCAAGCAAAATTGCAGCAGACGAACTGATGCCATGCGATTTGGTCAGATTGCTTTCCGCAACCTCCATCTCGTGCTCACTTGTACACACTGCTTGGGTTGATGTTGTGCACAGATTGGCATGCCCATGACGTTCGCCCTATATCGTACCTGCTTCCTTGTAAATGCCAATGGACAGTGGCAAGTGGACCAGCACATTGCATTGTTGGTGATGTGGGCTGGATGCTACATACTTAGTTGCACTTTGGGTACATTCCTTCCACTTGTGTGGCTTGTCATTGTATGCTTGTCACTACATGTCTGGAGGATTCTCCCATCGTATCGTGGCGTGTAGACAGATCTCCAATATGCCTGGAAAGGAGGGAGTTTTCCTGGCCATGTGACCCGTGCATTTTGCAATAACGTTTGCACACTTTCTGCCGAGATCTGTTGGTCGCTGGGTACTCATCTGCTAAACAAATTGATAGCCTCTACGTAAGGCTGTGGAAGTAATGAGTCAGCTGGCCGCATGCAGGAGGGGAGGTCTGGTGCAAAGAAGGTTACTATCCTCGGCGCGTCATGGAGCCGTCGTCAGGGGCGAGACTGAAGATGCGGTGTGCGTGCTTCAAGGACCAGCAGCACTCAGATTTGAGACAATTGTACGATGGGTGCAGCCCGGATGAGAGCAGGTGCAGGACTGCACCAGCTCAAAAGGGCGGCAAGGCGGGCAAGGCTGGCAACGCTGGGTCGGATAATAAGGCGAAAGTAGGAGCAGCTTGACTGCACTGAAAATCACTCCGATCCTAAAGTAGCAACCATTCCCTGGCCCCAAAGCAAGAGATGACATGTCCCAAAATATGAGATGAGGTGCACAGTACGATAATTGTGAATCTCATTGTTTGCGGGTCACTGTGTTTTGCCACGAAGTTCCTTGGTCTGGGGCTATACGCAGTCAGCAACAGCAAGGTCGTGCAAAGAACACGCCTTCGGGGATCTTAGCACATCGAGTGTTGGCCTAGCTGCTGTGAACTGTTGGTTTCTCTGCTGGTATGGTGTCCAGCTGATGCCAAAGTGGCTATACCAAGGTGTTGTGACATCGGTCAGCTGCCGTGGTTGTACACCTCGAGGTTTAGGGGACCGAGAACGCTTTGACTGAGATGCCCACCAGGGGTCATCAACAATGGTTCAGCATGCTGTTTGTATGATATGGATGCATGAAGTATCACCAACGCCAATTTCTGAGTATCGGGACTGCCGCAAGGCGTTGATGCAGGCAAAGACCCCCGGGCCTTGCCCTTCGTGGAATCACATCATGGCATTGTGGCATCGTCTGTGCCAATTGTCCAGAGCATCGACAGCACAGCCCAATGTCCAAACTGCTCAAAAACACCCGTGATGATAGAAAGACAAACACCACGCCCAATCCGCAGCCAGGTGGACGTCGCCCCCTATACAGCAGCTCGCTGCCACCATTAGCGTTGTGCTGTACATTGTCTGCCAACACAGCTGGAAGCGGCCAAGGGTGGACTTTTCTTGCACCATTGGCCTGGCGCTTGCCCCACCTGGCCTGGACCACCTTCCCGAACACCGTCGGCCCATTGCCAGATGCACCGCGACACGTCACCTCCACCAGCGCAGCCATACCTTTTGGAGTGTTATTCTGCCTTAGGAATGGAATGCTCACATGTGCTAATGCATGCTCAAGTGCCGCTTATGCACCCATGCAGAATCTCGGCGCTGGCCATGCCGGCTCGAGTCGGCGTGACCAACACAGGGGCTCCTGTCTTGCCTCGTGCTACCCCTCGCAGCGTCTGCAGCACTAAAAATTTGTTTCTCCCTCTTGGTGAGCTTCAGAAGGAGTCGTCAATGTCACTGCCCTGCTCGTCGCCCAGCGATGCAGACTGACTGGTGGCCTCCGGCGCCAGCCCGTTGTTGAGGGAAGGCACGTTGGCTGGCAACCCAGAGGTCACCGATGACTCGAGCTCCCCCAACACGGATATCCTGGGCAGGGCGCTCACAGTTCGTAGCCACACACAAGATCAAAACGTGGCCGCACGCCACAATACATGGCTGCTTGGTGCCTCCCAAATGTATGCAATGGATGGGTGCAGTGTGCCACACCTCCGCCTGAGTGTTGAGACTCTTGGGACCCTTTGTATAATGTCTATCGAAGCTGGTACTGGCACTGGACTACTGCAAGCAACACTGCTGTGGCCACACTGCATCATGGGTGCATGCGCATTTCAAGCACTTGCAAACGAACAGTACATTCGCAAACTTACACAAATGGGCCCTCGCAGCATGCGGCCCTATCGTCCAGTGGACAACAGGGTACGTGGACTACGCCCACGAATGGTGCTTCTCACAACGCGAACTGTGATTCAGTCATTCATTCACTATGTTGTGCTTAGCCATCTGGACAAAGTTTCAGCGAATCCTCCACTTAGAAAGTCGTGCGAATCCTTGCAGCCGTGCTCTGGCCTTTTGGCTAACAGCTGAGAGGGGTCCACTTCCGGCCTTGGGAAGTTTGCCCTGAAGATGCGCTCTATGCCCTATCCACTATGTGTTCTGAGTGCCAACAGTGTTAATGCCTCCTTTGCCGCAATGCCCCTATGTTTTCCTCGTTTAGCGCGCAATCGACAAGTGTGGTATTTTGCATGGAGTTTGCTTATCAAAAGAATCAGGGAAAACTCGAATCCCGTATGTGCGGCACGCGGTCCTCTGGTTAACCCGACACAGGCCGCCTTCATTGTATGGCGGATTGCAGTTCGATGACGTGGTGTGATGTTTTGCTTGCTCATGGAACATAAAACAAAATGGGCAATTGTTCATATCATTGGCATTATTGCAAGGCTGGGCATTTGCTTACCAAAAGAATTAACAGAGAATACAGATCTGTAGTTTTTTTGGGCTAACCTGTTCACACACGCGAACTCCTCGTAGCCACTCACGATGGTCCATCTCAGATATCTGCATTCCACGTTTACAGTCTGCGCCTCCGTTTGCAGCTGACGAGGTCGCGGACTGAGGTCTGAAGAGCGGAGCACATGCCCCAATGAGTGGAGTCATTCCAGGGCAAATTGGTGCGCCTGGCGCTGCAGAAACTTGGAGCAAGTGCATGTGCGACGCGCACACAAATCAATGACCACAAGATCTACATCCCATGTATCAACAAGGCTGCCGCTTGAAACCTGACACATTCGCCAGGAATGGCCAAGAGGCATGCTGCACTGGACTGCAAGAAGCGCGATCTGTTGCTGAACGCAAACTCCAAGCTTGCACTTTGTTATGTTGTGCCCAGACTGCAAAAGCTCAAAAACGGGTACCAATTCATCTGCTCGATGCGAGCAGGGCGGGCCGAGACGGCTTCAGAGGGCCACGCTAGTGGCAGTCATGTAACGGCGTAGTCAATCAGTTGCCCAATTACGGGGATTAAGCTATGTCAGATGCGTTTCGGTGTGCCAGGCGGTCGACTCACCAACTTCAAAGAGCTTCGTAAAACCCTCCGGAAGGTTTTCCGCACTGCTCTCCACCATCAACCGCCTGACTGGAACAGCGCTCACAATTTGAACCGATATACATGCAGTTCGGGCTGCAAAGTCGTCCAGCGCGCGGAGCGGGAGGAACAGGCGGTAATGACTTCTCCACACACAAGGAGTCCCATTTTGATTGCTCTTGGCGTGCCATTGGCGTAAAAGTGACGAGAAACTTGAAGGTTTCTAGAACACATATTGAAGGAGAGAAACGGTGCCAAAGTTGTGCGGATATGCAGCCACTTTTTCGGCAAAACGGTACACTGCGAAGTGAAATCACGAGAATGACACTGCAATTTCCAGACTAGCAATTATACTCACATTAAGCCTCTGCATCACTTATGCTGTACACATGGGAATGGGGACACATTGCCTTGCAATATGGCGTCCCTGTAGCCAGCCTGCGATTTCTGTCTTTTGGCCATGCAAGTTCGGTCAATGTGCTGAGAACTTACATTGCTTATACGAGCCACACGAATGTGCGCCGCACCGGGCTCCCATTTGAAGGCTGTAACAATCTAGATGATCAAGTACTCTTTTTAAACTGCGCTCAGAGGGCGTAGTCACGCCACCGGCATCAAAAGGCACGGGTACCAGCATGCACCGCGCAAATGGGCTGACCCGCAGCATCGCAACCGGCACATCGTGTTGGCCATGTCGGGGGCAGCTTCTCGGATGTACCCACCGTCGCGGCAGAGCGTCGTTATCTTGGACACTCTGGCAGTGCCCCCCACAGCCAGAACAAACTCTTGAGGGTACATGCCCGTGGTCACCCAGAAAGTGCCCTCCAAGCCGTCCAAGGCGTCCTCTGGCGGGTGGTTGGCGTCGACGCACGTCGCCGACAGTATCTCCCCTCCGCAGCCCGCCCGAGCCAGGTCTCTCATTGCGCGACCTCAAAACGGATGCTGGAGATGGCGCGAAGCTGCTGGGATCCAGCGGAGAAGGGAAGGCCGTCGCAGTACTTGGATGGCTGTTCTGGACAGGCAGTTGCCCTTGTTTGTGCTGCGCGGGAAGGACGCAATATGCGAGCTTTCGCCGTGCGATGGGAAGACAGATGCTTCTGCGATTACCGGGAGCGACGGAAGTTTATTCATGACATTCGCAGCACTTAGATTAGATTTTCATGGCGCCAGGGCGAACGCGGTTCATCAGAGTGCAGTTTTAAGAGACTTACGTGGTTCTGTGGGAGACATGGAGACATGGACAGCCAGGCATCGACTGCGATGTTGCCCAACCACGGAATATGTAGCCAACGATTGTGAAGGGAAACAAGGGGAAGTTTGAAACAGAAAATATTCACAAGAAAACTAGCCGTTCCCGAAAAATGCTACCAATTTTCGAAATACACAACAGTTTGGCGGTTCTCGAAGTACTAGCAGTTTTCGAAATTCACAACAGTTATTGTTCCCAGTTGGGGCCCGAAACAGTGTTGAGAATTTCAGTAGGCACCAGTCGTTGTGCACAGCGGAAAGGGCATGATGGCATGCTGCGCACCTTGGGCTCAATGCTACACAGAAACATTTGTGCAAGTAATTTTCCTCTTAATGGATTCCGTCAAGGAGGGCGATGGGTGGGCGGGCGCCACGATGTCCAGGGTCGGTGCTGGCTTAAGTATGGCGAGTTTGGGTCTGCCCTTTGCGTTTCTGGCCCCCGTTGTACCCTGGGTAATTGTGAGGCTGTGAAATCCAATGAGCGCCAGACGTTTGGCGCCCTTGGGTTTGGAGAAATTCAGGGTGTCGCGTTGGACAACTATTTCGGGACTCCCCTTGGCTACCCCCTTAATTCCTTTCGCATCCGCCCGGCCCGCTCCATCAGAGTGACTTTTGGTTACCTATGGGATGGTGTGGGAGTGAAGTAGGGATTGGGGGGCCCGACTCAAGCTTTTTACTCACGCTTTAGTACTTCACATTGTTTTGAAGTATGCGAATGGGCGCAATTTGAAGCACGTTGGTTCGGCTTTTTTTGGTATGGCGATGGACACATGAAGTGCAATCGAGCATAATGTTTGTCACGCGGGGACCACCCTGTAGGGGGGGGGAATGGGAAGTTATCGAGAGTCTTTATTTGTTCATGGCCATTGGCACAAGCATCGTGAACGTTGGTGCAGATTCTGGAGGGAGAGTGCTAATGGATGCACTATTCTTCATCGTATTGGGAGCAAACATGGCCCTCTGGAAAGCAATGAAATCGATGTGGAAGAAAGGAATGGACAGGTGGACAACAAGGAAATACGCCTCTTGTCTGCCGCTGCCCTGACGATTGAAGAGCGACAGGAAAAGGCACTTCTTCCTGTGCTGTTGGCGGCGTCCACCGCTGTGTACGCATCCTATTGACGTGGAAGTCGAAACTACTGTGAGCCATAATTTCATTTTGGACCTGAAAGGACTTACTCATTTGCGCCTGGGCTGTTGAGAGCGGCAATCGTGAGCCTTCTGGGAACAAACTGCGGGCGCTACTAAATGATCACCACCATATAAGCGCTTGCGCAGCGCATTTCCAAATTTTGCCAATTGCAGGCAGACCATTGGCGCATGGGGCTCCCCATGGCTTTTTGTGAGTTTTCGGAAACACTGAGACATGCAAAGGGTAGCACAGCCACTGAATGCATAGCGAACCAAGTGCATTAGAGGCAGGCTGTGCAAGTTATGGGAGCTATCATCGTAAACTGAGGCGTGAGTCGACAACAGACGACAAAACCTATTCCTGTGCTTCATCCCCTCTACACTGGTGACCGCCCAAGCCCCTTCCAACGTAGTTCTGCTGCGTCAATGCAATGGCGCCATGGCAAACCCCGTTGAAGCAGCAGAACCCTCTCGTTAGGGAAGACACTTTGCTTCTGTACGCTTAACGTCAAATTGACGTAAAGGGGTTGGGGTGGGTTATCCAGCCATTGATGCTAAGAGATTAGTGTACTTGCATTGAAATCCAAATAAGGAGGGAAGGTGCAGAGAAACCCCGCTGATCAGCGGCAAGTAGCTCATAAATTGTTGCGAAACCTCCCTCAAACTTTCGACCGTGCAGATAGTCGTTAGAATGGATCTTTTGGGCCGCTCCCATCGCATGTCATCGCTTTTGACATCCCATTTTTCAAATCACCGCAATTGCTACAATTTTGGCTGTCTTTTTTCACTTACAATTGTTTGAAGTTGTGTGACATTGTTGGGTAGTTTTGTTGAGAAATCCTGGCACCGAAATAAGGATTGACACTAAGAAGGGGGAGGAATTCTGAGCTTAATGTCAATTTGATGTTCAGCGTACAAAAATCAAAATGTCTTCCCTTAGCAATTTGTCCCATTCGCTGCCCCTCTTGCACGAGAAAACCAGCGGTATCAGGGAAAGGCCGTGTTCACTGCCTTGGTGCCACGCAATGGACACTTCAATATTTCTCCATACTACTACAACATTTTAGCAGTCCGTTCCCAACAAAAACCAAACGACAACAATGCCAAATGCAACAAAGTGCTCCGCCCCCACAAAGGCTCGGGTACGTCCCCCATTTCGATGCCTCCACCTCCTGCAGCACAGCTATGTAAAGATTCACACGCCCACGTGCTCTGCAAGCAACCCCATCCCATCTGTGATGTCAGGCAAGCCGCTAGACGCCAACTGTTTGGCGCTTTCCTTTTGGCACCTGTGCTTCCCCTACCCTACAGGAATGGCGGGATAGCTGCCCATTAAAGGTCCGCAAGTGCCGCAAGAAGCTCTAACCCGAAGCAGGCGCCAGCCGCATGATGGGAGATGCAAAATATTTCCACGGCAATATAGCGTGACAATCCACGGCGAAGTACATGCAGGCAGCGACTCACCCGGAGTTTCGACGGCCATGACGTTTCCCTCCCCTTCCAAGACTTACCAACGATGCAAAAAGCAGGCCCATCCCAGACAGTTCCAGAGCAATGCCGGGAGGGGGTTGAGCGTCGCCAACAGCCCACGCAATGCCTGCCAAAGCTCCATGCCCTTGAAACAATCCTTATCAACGTAAAGTACACTGAATTCGAGCTGCCACCTGCCGACCTGTATCTGAACAGAATTCAACGCCACTGTCGCTACAAGATGCTCCTGTCTGTCCGCATCCAAATTGGCACCATCGAATCAGAGATTCACTGGCAACACTGGACCCAATCCAGCATGTGTTTTGTGCGCAGAGCCAACCTATCCAATGCAGAACTGTGAAGACATCGCAACCTTTGAGGCGCCGCCAGGACTGTCATTGGGTGTTACGTCTCATGGATCGACGCCATCCAGACATTTTCAGAGCCGCAAGTCCACTTCCCCACTCTTGAGCATGTCAACGGAGAGCCCTGGCAAGTAAACAGGCACTCGGAAATCAGCAATTCGACGAAAGCCGGCAACAGCACCTTGCCCCGACACAGCAACGGGAGCACAGCAGGCACACTGCGTGCCTGGGCAAAAGAAGATTACCTCATTTCATTTGCAGCTATGGCTAACTTAAACACAATGTAACTACTAAGGGACAGCACTGCGATCGCTATCTATTGAAAACAACAACAAAGACGTGATGCTGATCGATGCAGTGGTAATGTACGACAAGTCGCTGCTTTGATTTGCGGCAAATCATTTGCCTGCCAAGTTTCAGATACCCCCCAGAATACCATGATGAGACGTCCAGATTCAATTGCAATTGCCATATTTGATTCCAGAATACTTAAGGATTCTTGGGTAGAAGTCGATGCAACTTGCTGGTGCATTAATATACTCACTGGGAAATGCACTTGAGGCTGACAAACAGCTGCCCCTTGTACTTGTTAGGCAATTTGCTGGTGCTCAAATACCACATGTCACAGAGGGTCCAGCACCCCCGTCCACCTTGCTTTTAGCATCAGGACTCGCGTCAAGCAAACGGGAAGGGGCACCATCTTGTGTGGCCCCACGCCATCTTACGTGCCCCCTGCACTCCATATTAACTCACTAAACCTGCGATAAGCATCCTCCGCCCATCTCGCACATACCCCTGTCTGGCCATGTTCTAAAATGCTAAGAGCACTGGCCAGCCCTTCCCCCCCCCCTCTTCCACCCACACACCCACCCCGCAGTTGCCAGTGACACTGTCTGCTCTATCCTTTACAATACTGTGTTGTCTCGAATGTGAACTGTTAGGTTCAACAGAGCTGTTGATGGAACATACTTGAAGGTGCAGAAGGTCAAGGCTTGTCCACGGGAATGCCTGGGCTGGGGCCTCTCCAGGCGATCTTCGTAGCCCCCACAGATTCTCCTTCCAAAGAATGCAGCACTGGTGAGTTGCCTTCACTGGGGACGCCACTTTCCAACCCTGATGCTACCAAAGGGAAGGAGCTCAGGATGGTCTTCACTTCGTCATCTTCACCCGTGGGGAGCTCAGCGGATGGCACTACGCCGATTTTTCCATGGCCCTTGGTGGACCTATCTGATTCATCACTGCTCGATCGTTGTGGGGCCACCGGTCGTGGCACGCTCCAAGAAATAGCAGTCATCATTTGGCCCAACCGTCCGCAAAGAGAACCAAGCAGTCCAGTCACTGAGCTGCACAACAGTGGGTTTCTGTCAGTGCAATTGTGCAACAGCATATGCTACAACAGACCTGGAATTGAATCCTTGCAGAGAGTTTGCGAGCAACAACCCATTATTCAGTTCAGTTCAATTCTTCAGTTATATTGAGTTCAGTGTCCCGCGGGTGCTGCTCCAGAGCAGTTTCCCACAAGCAAGGGCCAGTTCAATTGGTGGCACTATTGTGCTGAAATAGCAGGAACTGGATCCAATGGTGTTATCTCAGTGTCATCTGTGAGCATACATTGGCGATTCCCTTCGATCGGTCTCCAGTTGTCCTACTGCCTCGAGCCATGGGTGGTTGACCAGGTCCTCAGCAGAGGGCCTTGCAGTGGGGTCCTTCACTAGCGCATCCTGTATGAAGCTGATGACGTCCTTTGAGAAGCTGTCAGGGAACTTGCGGACGTTTGCCCACAAAATGAGTGCAGCCGTCAAGGTGGGATCTTCAACCTGTTCAGGGCAGTTTACCGTTTAGCTTTGGCTGCCCACAGTAGGAGAGTTATCCTCTGCATTTCGGTCACAGGCCGAGGTTTCAAGGATAGCCATTTGTCAACACTGGTAATGGGCAGCCGATCAAGGCAACTGCTGCTGCAAAGACACTAGCCATACAGTTGGCACCCCTGTCCAAACAAAATGTTGAGATGAGGCCAAAATGGTGGTACGATGGAAGGAAACAATATGCAGGTGTCTTGGTGTCACACTGGTCTCTAGCCCTGGAGAGCCCATTCTCGGACTGGTGAAAGTGCCCCCATTTCCGATCTGCAACTCAGCAACGGGACTGTCAACACGGCAAGAATAATGGAAGGAAAGCAGGGGAAGATAGGTGTGCAAAGCCACGGAAACGTCCAACTACAAAGGCGGCACACAAGTGGGTTTGCAGCCCAAAACAGAACCCATGCATCTGGGAAGCACTGAGGGGTGACAGCGATGAAAACAAGCACTGCTAGTCCACTCTGTGCATCTGGGCCCTCACCTCAAAAGGGCCGCGACCAGCCAGAAGTTCATACACAAGGACACCAAGTTGCCAAATGTCCACCTTCTCATCGTAGCACACCACTCTGTTGGACTCTGCAAACCTCTGCCCTCCCTCCACATCAGAGGGGTTCTGAAAGGCTGCAGCATCCTCCTTGCAAGGGTCCATCACGCGCAGCATTTCAGGCGCCATGTAATCCACATACCCATACTGTGAGGTTGGTCTATTCTGCCACACGTTGATGGCATAGACGAAGTTCAACAGGCGCAGCTGCCCATCGCGACCGAAGCTGAGGTTTTCAGGCCATATTGCCCTGAACAGAAGTGGCAGCAGGCACATCACCGATCAGCAAAGTGGCTATGACATATGTGCCTGGCCCCAGGCAGGCAACAATTGAGCAACCAACTACACAGCACACTGTTGCCAGTGACCATTCTGTTGAGCAGATGAAACAAGAGATACCACAGTGGCACACTTGCACTGGACCTGCGGCAGACTCGGGGACCAGCAGGTCAGCCTCTTTGACAGTCATGGCTGCAAAAGTGGAGAATACCAGTGCGGTCAGTCAGGAATCAGCATGTGCAAAGCATCAAACTTGTGCCCAACAGTTGTTCTTGTTGTGTTCTGATTCCTGACTGCTACTGGAATGCATTTTGCCAGAGCATATGCAATTATACCACAAGGATTTCTCAATGACCCAGGCAGTTCTCCCTCTTGTATATGACACACTCCAGGTACCCCATTTCCCACAGATGTGAGTTGCATAATGGATCCACACATGCAACAGCACAAACTGACGACCCGCTTGCTTATTCCGCTACATAATAAAAGGCATTGTGCCTTTCTGAAACTTGCTGGCTCCGAAACCTGGCCTGGTGGTGCTACCTGTGGGCAATGCCCACATTGTGCAGATAAACTAGGGCATCCAGCAACGGCCTCACGACTTGGTTTGCAACAAAGAACTCCGTGAGAGACTTCTTGTTGGTGACCATCTGAGCAAACATGTCCCCGTGGAAGCAGTACTCTTCAACCATGAACATGTCCTCCTCCGTTTCCCAGACACCAAAGCATCGGATGATGTTTGGATGGTGCAGTGTGCGTATAATGCTCATGCATCTCTGCAGCTGGTTCTCCATTTCAGGGGCCAAGTTGCCTGAGCCGCAATAAAGAGTGCGAGTCAAAGACTGGGTGGGCATGGGATACAGCAAAGTTGAAAGAGTCCATGGGTGCTGCACTGTCACATTCTCTGACACATGTGGCAGAAACATTTGCTAACACCCCACTATCACATGCGTGAAATACACAGGCACCAACAGGCATTCTCCATAAGGCTTGCTCCAGAAGCAGTTGTCCCCTATCCTGGTGCAAATCTTCAAAGACAAGCAAAGGCATCCACAGGGCCAGGGAAGAATAGCAGTCTCGACAGCTAGTTCACAATGTGAGCACTGTGCACGGGCACTGCAGCCTCTGTGAGACTCACGTTTATGAAACACCTTCATGACAAAGTTTTTTTTGCACGCCGATGCTTTGACAAAGTAGGAGGTGCAGCTCTTCGTCTTCTCCAGCATGAACGTAGGAGGGTTGAAGTCATCTGTGGATGTGAACCACAGATCCTCTTCTTCCTCCTGTGGTGAAAAATGCAGATTCAAGACAAAGACCCACAGCACAAGCACATCTTGAAATCTGGCCACCCAAGCTCCCTCAGATATCTCAGGTGCACTATCCATTGTGTCCATGCGATAGTTGTGACAATTTACTGACAAAACACAGCACAACTTCAGTAGCCATCAATCATTCATGCAATGGATATGTTGTTGGGCCTCAGCAAAGCATTGTAGGCCTTGCTGCAACAGAGTGCTTCCTGTACAAGGTTCCAAGTTGTTCAATCATCAGTAGTAAAAGTCTCCCAGATTGTGCACCCATGACAGAAAATAGTTGGCAGCATTGCGCACAGCACTAGAGGTGCAGGGACCATTGATGTTGACCTTCATCCTTCACAGTCTGGCTGAGTATTTAATTGAAATCTGGCTGGTATGCTCAAAATCAAAACTCTAGAGATCAATTGCTAATATAATTGTGAAAGTCATACAGAACTTGGGTCAGTAAATGCTCATTTCTGGTTCATGACTTTCTATCTTAATATTTATCTTTTTGATTATTATGACCTTAACTATAAATGAGGGTCGTAGGGGACATAAAAAGAAAAGAATCTTGCTAATAGGCTAGGGTAGGTTGCTAATAGGTTAGGGTAAAAAATTAGAATGAGACTCCATTATGATGAGGTAAATGAATATTATACCTATAATTGGAGAATATTATATGTGAGATTCTGCACTTGAATAATGAAGTGGGAATTGCAAAAGTTGAATGAGAAACTAGAGGACTACAAACTATCTTTTGATCCAAAAAGTCATTGTGGTAAGGATAAGATTTGATGCAATAGTAGATATGAAGGAATATAAAAACAACATTAGAATATTCCGGGAATTCACCCACCATAGTGTTTGGGAGTTACTGCTTATAAGAGGGGAGTACCAAACCATTTCTCAAAACATGGCAAAGGCTCCTCTCCTCTCTAAGAGTGACCCTCCACCCTCCCTCACTTATATTTTCCAAGATCATGGCCTAGAACCTGGGCTGGGTTACCCAATATCCCTTGGGTTTGAAAACCCGGTGATGCAACTCATTTGCATTCACTGGAAGGGAAAGGGTTATGTAAATACCCTCAAGTTTTGTGGGCATGCCAGGACGGTGTTGGACTTGCTTACCCATGTGAGCTATGTTGACATTGAGATCTGACAACAGGCCTTATTTGGATTTCCCTATGGGATGGCAATTTACTAGGAATTGACGCGTCAGAAATGGAAGAGGAAATGTAAAAAACAAGGCAGGAGCTCCGATGGAGGCGTGAACTTGAGAATGAGGCCAGAAGGGCGGCAAGGGAAGCATGGGTAGCATGGCAGGAGGAGCAGCAAGGTTTGAAAGTTACGGAGGGAGATCGACAAAAAGTTACATGCATGTTTGATGATAATCCCTGGCCAAAATTTAAGATAGTGCTGATTGCAAAAGATGAGGGATATTGGAGGATCTGAAGTGAATGGAACGCTCCCTTTTTATACATGGGTGAAAAGGAATATTTTGAAGTAATTGGGCATATTCTGGGTGTAATGATTGGAAGATGCTTTTTACTATTTATTGGACGATTTTTATGTGGTTGTCTTTTGTTCATTTGAGGGCGTTTACAGTATTATGACATGATGATTCCGAGGTTGTGGCATAGGCTTTATATCATCGTTTTATGGCGTATTTGTATTGGTTTAGAACAAAGTGACAAAAGGGAATATGCAGAGCATATTATCAGGATATCCTAAAAATATCCAAGGGAAGATTCTCTATGCGAGAGGGTCAAAGTAGGGTATATAAAAAGATTTTTGGAACTCTTTTGTAACTTGAACGAACTCCAATCCTTTTGTAAGGATTTTCGAGTCCACTTTTTGGGTTCATTTTCTATTTGCCTATCCGTCTCTTCTCATCTTATCGGGCGCAAGAGTTCTAAAATCTTCCTATATAATCTACTTCGACCCCCTCGCATAGAGAATCTTCTCTTGGATATTTTAAAGATATTTTGATAATATACTCTGCATATTCCCTTTTCTCACCATCATCTAAACCAATACAAATACACCACTAAACGTTGATGTAAACCCTATGTCAAACCCTCAGAATCATCATGCCAAGGCACCATAAACACTGCCAAATGAACAAAAAACAACCATTCAAACATTATTTAATGGATAATCAAAAGTATCCTTAAAGCATTTTCCCCAAAATAGGCCAAATTACTTTAGAATATTCTTTTTTACCCAAGTATAAGAAAAGGAGCGTTCCATTGATGACATATCCTTGAATACTCCTCATCTTCCCCAACTGGCACCATCGCAAAGTTTAGCTAAGGATTATCATCCAATATGCCTGCAACATCCGGTCGATCTCCCTCCGCAATTTCCAAACCTCACTCCTCCTCCTCTTGTTGTGCTGCCTATGCTTCCATGGCTGCCCTTCTGACCTCATTCTTAAGTTTGCACCTCCGTCCAAGCTCCTGCCTTTCATTTTGCTCCTCACGTGTCCTCTTCCGGTTCTCAAGAGTTAATTCTTGGGAAGTTGCCATGCCGTAAAGAAAACGAAACAAAGCCTGTTGTCATATCTTGATATTAATGCGACTCGCATGGGTAAGTGAGTCAGTCACTGTCTTGGCATGGCCCCAAACTCTGAGGGCATTCATATGGCCCTCTTCCTCATAATAAATACAAATAAGTTGCATTATTAGGTTGGCAGACCCGTGGAATACCGGAGTCTGAGCCATGATCTTGGAAAATAAAATTGAAGGAGTGTGGAGGATTACCCTTACAGTGAAGAAGAGTGCTTGCCAAGCTTTGAGAAATGGCTTGGCACCCCCCTTTCATAGGCTACGACCCCAAAGCACTACAATAGGTGAATCTCTAGAATATTCTAATGTTGTCCCTATATCCCCTCATATCTCCTATTGTATCTTATTCTTACTATAATGACCTTTGGGATCAAAAGGTATGTTTACAAACCTCTAATTTCTTATTAAATTTTCTAATTCTCACTCCATCACTCAATTGTAGGACCTCACACATAATATTCTCCAATGGTAGGTCCAGTATTCCTTTACCTCATCATGATGAAGTCCTGTTCTAATTCTTTACCCTGATGACCAGCTATTGGTAAGATTCCATTCTTTGTATGTCCCCCACGACCCTCATTTATAATTGAGGCCATGATAATCCAATGGATAAACATTTAGATAGAAAGTCATGAACCAGAAATGAGCAATAAATGCCTCGATTTCTGTGCGACTTTCGCAATAACGTTGTTACATTGCTCTGAAAACAATGCTCCACGTAGCACCAAAAATTTGCCAAACCCTGATCGCTGCAAAGACAACATTCCATACCAAACTGCAAGCAGCCCTACCCACCGCAGTGTCCGCCATGACCCCACTCTGACGGCGAATGCCACCCAGGAGCATGCCAACAACGTTTCCCCCTGAGAGGAAGATGGAACTCTTTCGGCCTGACGTTTTCTGCAGCCACACAAAATCCGCACACATGTCACAAAACCAGCTGATGCAGACAACACTTGTATCCAACTCAATACTCTAGAAGTGGCTACAGACAATTAGTCACAGCACATCGAAATGCCAATCAGTTCCTTTGCTACCTACAAACACTGTGCTAGATTGCTATAGTTTTGGCCAGTTCACAAGTTTGGTAAGCATTGTAGAGTCTGATCGCCAAAGGACTGACTGAACATATGTTGAATCTGTTGCAGGTTACTGTGGGTGTGTGGTCTGTGTTCTGCCAAAAATCCACAGCTTTCAAGTAATAAAACTGTGGTGTGGCATGGCTTGCACATAATAGGCGATGTCAGGGGCAGCTTGCATCCAGAAAGCATTGGTTTCCAGGCGAGTACAAAATTCACTCCTTGTCCCTATATCCTGCCAATAGAAATTCATAACAGAACACAATTCCCTTGTGTGTTGCAGTGGAGTGTGGTTCGATTCCGCTTCAGAGATTGCACTGGTTGACACATTTGGAGTGGAAGGACATGAAGATAGGAGCAGGACAATAGTCATACACATGTACAGCTCAGTTTGTTCCGTGCTTAGATTGCCAATCGGTACCGGCCAACACATCGACCATTGAATGTGGGAGTGGAACCCATTCCTGTGCATCTCCTTGTAAACGACTGTGGAAAAGTTTGTCCTTTCAGATTTAAGCTCACTCTCAGAGCGATTCCATGACTTCAAACTTCCCAAGCAATGGTCTTGATCTGGCCAGCCTGACCTTCGGTTTAGGTTTTGGTGAGCTGTGTTCCATCGTCAGCGTTGATCGGATGTGGCTGGGAAATGGATCTGGTTCCTCAGCCTCTTTCCTGACATCAACAGCAATGGGCTGCACAGAACACCAGAAAGTCTTCTTGTTGAAGGCAATGCAGGACAGCTGCATAATCCAGAGAGGCCTGGATCTGTTGCTACAGCTAATATTTGATGCAATTGCTCCGCTTGTGCACTGAGGGTGCAGGGCAAGGGCACATCTGCAATTGTGTGAGAAAACTAATGGGACAACCAAAAGATCAAGTTACAATAACACTGAAACTCAAACAGGCCGGCAGCCTGTTTCCTGGGTTTGCACAGGTCGTCAGGGGCAGCTGTGCGTCCAAGGCCTTGGCCTTAGCATGGTGTCTGCAGTCCAATCATGCAAGACGGCCGTTCTGGTAGTGAGCACAAAACTGTTGCTAAGAAGAGGGGAGCAACATTTGGGACAGCAGAGGACTGGAGGCGGCCCACGCACGCATTCGTACGCTGTGTCTAGGTCGGCATGTGTCCGGCGTCGTCAGCTCTTTCCCCCACTGCGACGTGCGCGGCTCCAGTTCGTCGGGGTCCTTCGCACAAGCAGGAATTGTTCAGCACGAGTGCTCTGCAGAATTCACCCATTTGCCCTTGGAGGCGGACATGAAGAAAGGTCGACAAGCTATGTGTTGGAGTTATTCGCATCTGACCCAGGTCTACGGCAAGCGGGATCAACCTTCGTGGGGCTGTTTGGGCGTTCGATTTCATTCTTGGCCGGTGCCAATAAGATCAGGTGCGTCTAAAGGGGTGCGCTGTGCCAATCACAAGCAATCTAAATGCCCGCTGTTCTAGCACCCCTTCGCATCGGAGACCCTCTCGAAACGCGACTTCACACCGATGCGCGCACGTGCGTCCGACCGCTCCCTCTGTCCTTTTGCTGACCTCGGGGAAGCCAGATCGAGCCCCAAGCCCCACACGAGACCACAAAAGGTTTGGATTTCCGGACAGGAATAGCGCAATAGGAGTGACGCTCCCTCCTTGCGTAGCCGCACAGGCGGTGCAAGAAACGACACATAAAAGCTCCAAACACGAAAAACTCAAAGCACACCAAAACCTCAGACCACCGCACTCAAAATGGCCTTCGGCAAGCACCCGACGCGGCCAGCGCCAAGCCACCGCGGCACCGATTCCCCGCATATCCCTGCGCACCGTGAAACTGAGCCTGACAGGATGTTTTCGACCGGACTTCGCTTCTTCATCGAAGGGCGTGTCCGATCTGAACCCCGCCGACGGCCCAGTCCCCTTGGACCCGAGTACCCTCTCCTGCCGTGCATCCTCGTCCGCCTGCGTCCAGTCGCCTCGGGATGGCGACGGCGGCGGAGACGACGGCGACGGCGAGGACTGCCGCCCCTCGTCAAGGTGCAGGTCGCGGTGCAGGTCGTCGACCATGTTGGCCCCCTGCTTCCTTGTGCGCTCCATCTTGCCCAAGAGCACCTGACTCAGCACACACGTGTGGGCGCACATGTCTGGGCACATACCAGGGAACCGACTGTGCGATTCGATTGTTGGGCGGGCATGCAACGTGATGCAGCTGAAGCACTGTCTTTGTCTCGGTGTTCGGTACTTAAGGGTTTGGAGTACCCTCTTCCGTGCCCCTGGCAAGGTGATTTGATAGGGCAGTGAGACATGCCACAAAGATGCACCCAGTTTGACACCCTCTTAACCATCCGCACCAAAACACTCGGGCTGGCGACGGTGATAGATTGAATTTAGTGGGTTGGTTGCGAGCATGAAGCTTGGTTTGGTTGGAATCAAGCCCTTTTTTGTGATCTACAAGCCAGATATCCGACCCCAATACACTAGGCAAAAGGGCCCAACAACATGTGTTCAAACGTGTACAAAGTTTATGGGTTTGGGTTATTTCCATGTTTCCGGCATGCAGAACACTGATGAAATGCATACATGTGTGTTCGCAAAAAAGAGTTATTTGGTCCTTTTTTCGCCAGTGTTAACCGCCCAGCCCTCTTGCTGGAAAGCTCAGTGTTTTAGTGTTTTCGAATGTGGGCGCACGCGGGCCAACTGCTAGAAAGGAGGGAAGGGAAATCGGAAGAAGACTGGGCTAGAAATTGGGTGATGCCCAGCGCACACAGAAGATAAGACGCTGGATATTCGCAATAGTCACAGGACCGTACACAGTTTGGGACAACTGCCAAGTCAATCGGCACAACACCATCGGTGACAAGGCCACGACTTTTTTCCATTTCTTCCTATGCCGTACTGGGAAGGAGACCGCACCTGCTGCGAGAGCGGGATGCGCGTCCACCCTGCCTCAGCCTGCGCCTCGTCTACGCAGCCCGACAGCCCTGGGCTGTTGCTTCTGACCTCGTGCGCCGCACAAGAATTGGTGATCTGCCCAGCTGGCGGGGCCCCACCGCCTAGGTGGGTCGTGCCGAGACCTGGCCCTCAGCTCGCCCTCTCGTTCAGCAGAGAAGTCACTGGGCCTCCTGGGACGCACCAACAATGCGGAACGCCGTTTGGAAGCTGTACATGACCAGCACAATGTGTTTGCCGGCAGATCTAAACAGTGCATTCGCCACGCAATTGGAATCGCAGTATTGCAAGCAGTGGCCCCGACAACGGGCTTGGACCACAGCCAGTCGTGTGCCAGTGCTGTTTCCTGAGGATGCGGTGCACAAACTGGGTCTGTTAGCGCTGCGGACAGAATGAAGGGGGAATTGGGGCTTTGTGCTACAAAGTTTGTGGTGGGCGCAGCCGGCCAACACAGGGCTGAAATTGCGGTTGCAAAATGGGTCCCGTGCCTCGGTGCCCATGAAACCATCCAAATTGTTGCTGGGGCTGGTCTGTGACTGCGACTGAAAAAGAGGCGACGTTCAATGTGGAGGAAATATGCGCAAATCATCCTCTGTTGGACAAAAACACGACTGCGCTGCTCGGCACGTTGCTCAAAATTGACGAGAGGATAACTAATCGACAGTCTCAAAGTATCCAGTACAACAACACAGCAACTCGTGATAGGTGTGTCTGCTGACATCAGATCGCCAGACAACATTGGTTTTCAAGCATTGGACTAGGACCCCACCAAGCCGGCAAAGCGCCAAAGGGATATTCCTCACCCCAAACCCCACCCTCACGCTGCCGAGCCACTGATTTGACTTTCCTTTCTGAGAGTCCTGGCTTCAGTGGCGACTGCTCGGCCGACGTGGACACAAATTGCTCAATTCTCCAGGAACAAACTGACAAGGGGCCTGCTGGATCGACCGCGGACACGGCTTGGCGCCCACCCCTTGGCACCGCGCCCCCTTCCCACGCGGCTTGTGAACGCCCCTCCATGGGAGCGGCGAGCCGAGCAGAAGGGCGCCGCCGGGTGCACCCAGAGCAGACAGAAGCATCTGTCGCCGGCCCACCCGCCCTCTCGGTTGGGCGGCCCCCATTCATCCAAAGCGGACAGAGATATGCGCCCACAGGCGAGTGCACACACGCCCAGTTCACCCTCTCCCGTGAATCAACAACTCTTGCTCCATCGACCTACCCCCACCCCCACTCGAGGCCCCCTCACGCTTCCCGTGCGTTCTACGCAAAGGCAGCGCTCGAACTGGTATGTGGAAAACCCGAACAGTGGAAAGTCTCAATACGAACTGAAACTTGCATCTGTCCGGGAGGGATGCGCCGGAAAGGGACTGCCTCTCGGTATAGGCGCCGGTCACGCCAAACGGGCGGCGAACTCCGGACCCACAGGAACGCTGCCCTTTCCGCAATGCGAACTTTGAGCCCTCCCAGGGAGAGGGGGTGGCCTGCATGGAAGCACAGTACCAGAGAGCCGCGCCGGCGCCATAGACGGGAGTCCAACCTTCGCGAGTCATCTGTGCGGCGCAAGGCCTGACCAGGCACCGCGGCTGGTCCGCCGAGCTCTCGCCTTCGGCGCGCCAGAGCCGGGGAGGGGGAGGGGGGTGGAGGAGAGTTGACGACTGGCAGGCTCCCTGACGTCCTGTGGCCTGTGGACCTTGAGGATTCGGAACGGCGCGCTGGCGGGGGGCCAAACACGGTTGAGGGGGACCGCGGAGACGCCGATGATGCATTGCCCACAAGGACAATTTTTCTTTCCGCTCGGCGTCGCCGGAAAATGTTCGAATGGAGCTGATTGTCCACAATTTCGAGGACACTCTTGTAACCAGAGCTGATCGAGTACTATTGATAGCTGGATGCGTTACGAGGTGATGAAGCAATAAGAACTGATTCAAAGACATTGATGAACGGACCGAATATAAGGGGCAGAATTCCTGTTGTCCCTTTGCTCAGCTGTAAACCCTCGCCGTGTACTCGAGCCTATGGTCCCCAGTCGGAAGCTGCCAACGCTGGGCCCTGCCTGCCTTCGTCAACACTTTGCCCTAATCAAGGTGGTTTGGAACGAATTTGCAAAGTATGCTTATTGGGACAGCATACTTAAGCTTACGCTTATGCCGGGCAGAGTGTGCTTATGGGCGCCGGCGCTGCCAGAAGTCTTTGTTCCTTGGAGATTCAGCGCTCTCCCAGCACAATCAGGCGGGGTTGATCGTTAGAGAATCCCTGGTGAGGACCAGTGCCAGTGCTTTAAGCTGTGGCGCAAGGCACAGCAGCCGCATTGCCGTCTACACACCACACTTCGTCCTTATGTAAGTTAAACCTGCTGCAATACCTCTGCGTTCATTGGTGGAATGTGAACTTAAAAAGGCAAATTTATTATACGGATAGGTTCCTTGTGGTAGTTGCTGCTTTGCTCGGGCATTGTGGTTTGAACACGTGACGCCATTTCCGAAGTGGGTAGGGTTCCACAAGGATGGTGACACACCACGAAAGCGATGGTTTTTCCACTGGCACGATGATTAGCGGTTCCGCGCAAGCTTGAGCCCTGGCATGAATCAGCATAGGCGCAGCCAACTGAAGTCGAAGCGCAAGTCCAATTCGCACGCGTGATTTGGGCTCCTACTGTGATCTGATAACCCCTGTTGGTTTCGCAAAGCGGAATGGAGTAATAGCAGCGACAGTGGAGCTATCACAACGACAGTGTTCCCTCTTACGTTGCTGAAATATGCCAGCAGCGTTTTTACATGGCAAGGTGTTCTCTTCCCAAAGCAATCTTCTGGGTCATTGGCCACGAAGGTCAAGATTTCGGTTGTCAGCCCTTCCGGCAAATGTGTTCGAAGCTTAGCGATTTATCACAACGGGCAACGGCTGAAATTGTTGCCGTTGCTACGGAATACAGTACGCCGTTGAAACCAACCACATGCAACAAGAAGATGGCGGAAATTTCCATTGTATTTCATTCCTAGAGCAATCGAATGGCAGAGCACTCGCCGGCATGCACTGCGCATGCCTGAAGGCTCCCCCACTTTTGTATCAACGGCTCTGAAGATCACGGCAAATGGACTGAATCGCAAAGGCAAACTTTCACGGATAGCAGGGGGATGTCAGCCGATCGCGGACTTGTGCTGCCACCTCGCACCTCCAGCGGGATGGCGAATGATACTGAGGCATAGGTTCTTTCGTTGACCTTGGGCAGATTCCAGATCTTAAAGAAGCAAATGCCTGGGTTCCCCGGCCCGCCAACTATTGAGAGTGAGGTAAAATGCGGGCGCATTCTGTTCCACGATCCTCTACATGTAGATTACAGTCCGGCTCCGCTCTGTCAATGCATTTATGCACACGGTCAGTCATCGGTTGGACGTGTCTTTATACCCTCGGGTGCCTGGCCATACAAGATAGCGGCATTGGGCAATCGCAGTCTTGCTCACCCAAACCAGCCTCGGGGCCGCGGCGCCGTGTCAAGTCTTACCATGCACCCTACACAGCATCTACGCCAATGCACCGCGCACTGATGAAATCGCAACTACCGCGCAGGCGGCCATGCATTCCGATCGCTATGTTTCGAAAGAATCAGATTCCAACAAGAGTCTCCGGTGGTCAAGTGCCCCACACGCTTTCTGGCCTGCTGTGCCCACTGGTCTTTGGGCCTGCCATGCACATCGCGCTGAGAGGAACACAACAGATATCTTCAACGAGCCTCCGCACCCACACAGCACCTTCATCCGGTTGAAAGACTCCTTTCGCCATCCTGTAGATGACTCAATGGTGAACTACAGCTATCAGTCACGTACATTGAAGCTCATCTACCCACGCCACTTTTGTGTGCGAGCATACTGCGTTGCGCATTGATGTGGCCATCCATTACCCCCCCGTCAAAATGGTTCTCTCACCATTCAAGACCTATGCCCATCACAATCCCCCTCCCCCGGGCTTGAAGGCCCCTCAAAGGCCCCAAGCAATGTCAGCATAGCACATTACGCGAAGGCGGGTCTAGTTTGTCGTTGAGCGAATATTCAGAAACAGTCCGTGGCCTCCCTTCCGCTGCCGATATCCAATCTGTGGCGCAGCCATTCTGTCCTAAGCTCTGTCACGAGACAGAACACGACTGCGCATGAGGGAAGTTTCAGCCATCGAGCCAACCCTGGCAGCCTGGCCATTGCGGTGAATCGCCAAACAATGGTGCCGACATCATGTTATCAGGCAACCACTGCCTCCAGCCAATAAGTTTGATCCTCGGACGGCGCTTCCGCTCACGGGAGAGTCCTGGCCCTGCTGAGCCCCATGTGCGCGTCCACCCAGGCTATGACCGTCTACCTCAAGGTTGGGCACTTGCCTGCTCGAATATTTGAGAGTACAGCAAGCGATTTGGGGTTCCTGGTCTCATGAGATCCTTGTCTATCTTTTCCACGGTGGCATGGGATATGATCGCTTCTTTTACCTCGGCGGGCGAGGCATCCGGGTACTCTCCGAGATACATGGCCGCCACCCCCGCTACATGAGGTACTGCCATGGACGTGCCCTCGTTCCACGTGTATGCGCTGTCCGTCAAATTCTTGCAACGACCTAAGGCCCCACAGCAAAACAGCATCAGTCCCCAACCCCATCTCCATATATTGATGCAGCCGCGTTCCCCTCATATTTTGGGCAGACAAACAGCACACGTATCAAAATTACCAGATTTCAACCACCAAGAAGCAGTGAATTGAAAACAAATCTTGATCTTCGGCGCTCATTCATGCACAAAAGTACAGTGGCGATGCTGCCACAGCCTTCAACCATGACTAACATATGCCACCTGGCATAAGGCTGATTCACTTGGAAGAGCCAGCAACACTGGGCGGCGCCTGAATTTCGAATGTATTGGGCCACTTCGGAACAAAGAGCGGACGGTCGCTGCGCTGCCAGGCATACAAGCGGCATGCCTCTCCTGCCGCAACTCATCCAATGCGGAACAATGCATGAACACCGAGCCCCAGGCCCTTGCAAGCATCGCCTTGCTTCCAAATTTAATGCACTCCATACCAATGTCGGGTGGACGCGGCCCAATCTCCTGTTTCGCACTGAAAATTTACGTAACGCACCTGCGCCTCCGCAGGCTCCCAGAATATCGACGGATGGGGCGAAAATGTCAACACATGACCCCGTGTCGGTCCACGGGTATATGCCCTCGAGCTCCCCTCTGGAGGTGTTGTCGAACTTGTTCTCAAGGTTGTGCCCGGCAACCGTGATGGTCTGAGGCAGATTCGCTGGTGCCACGTAGCAGCTGTCTATGGCGTAGTTTCCAGCAGCCACGACCACAACCTGCGGGGACAACCATAAGGCCTCGTGGCTAAGGACGATGAAAGAATAAGCCACCAGGAGACTGGGACTAACACCATGCATTGATGCAATATAACATTGGGCTAGCATGGGAAAAATCAACATCAATCCAATGAATCAAAATGAACTTGGAAATTTAAAAATGCCGAGCAAGGGCGCTACTCCCTCACGGCGTGGGCAAGCACACTTGGCTACAGGGTAGCAATTTGACAGGGCCAACGGATGAAAGAAAAGCACGTGAAACATTGAAACGAAAACCAAGCGGAAGCAGCAGATATCCAGGATCTTACAAAGCCGTGGTCATCCACCAAGGACACCACGGTGTCCTCTAGAGCTTGAGACCATTTCCCCAGCTTCTCAATCTCCACTCCAAGAGACAGTCCAACAACGCCAGGCCTCTTGCCGTAGGTCGCCACCCATTCGAGACCTGAGCACAGAATCAGAATGATAAATGTATGGTGTTTTTCAGATTTATGTGCATTGAAACAGTGGCAAGTATCCTTCTCACGCCTTTTCCACAATTTGCAACAGATAATGGATGCGCACCCACAGCCGAATACTCTGCACTCAATCTAATGTTGGCGATACTCACTCCGAATGCAATGGCAGTAGGTGACAGAAATCTGCTATGGATACCGAAGCTGCGAATGTGCCTATACTGTTTATATTGGCAGAACATCCTTCTGCAATTGAGTATAAAGTGATGCAGAGCTGTGTATACAATACCATTTATGCAAGGCCAAATAAAGCTGCAGCAAGGTCAGTGTATCAGCATTGAAGCACCACTGACACTCGCATCAGCACTTGTCAACGTTCACATTTGGACTGTTCTTGGAGCGTTGATGGGCATCATATCGATGGAAATCCACCTATCACATTGCAGCAAAGTCTACCCCTTTCCAGACGCCAGGCAGATGAATAACTGCGTGGTCATCTTGTGAAGCAGTGCACTGCATAATGCCTTTGTTCATCCATGACGCAGGGAGATGCGAAGCCTACCTGCAATGGTTGTGCTTATGCTCGTGGTACTTTTACAGTTCAACACGCGTATGGCGACCACCGTTGCACTCTTGGCAATTCCCACATTCCGGCCGATGGCCGTGGATGCGACGTGTGTGCCATGCCCTTCGCAATCCTCTGCTTCGCTGTCGTCATCGACAAAGTCCCACCTAACCGAGTTGGAACAGGCACCCTTGTGAGATGCTGTGAAGGCTGTTCAGAATGGTGGCACATACTGGGCAGCCCCAGTTCTGGTAACGATCATTTGATGCCAACAACATGGAAATTCCTGTGAGGTGCCATCACGTTCTAACGGAATATGGCAATTAACAAATTGCTAATAAAAATGCTGTTCCATGGTGACACTATACGCGCAACTTCGCCATGATGTTGTTGCCCAAATTACCAGTGGCCTGCATTAGGAAATTCGATTTGGTGCTCTGCAACGGGGCAATGCACATTGCTCCTGTGTTTAAACCCGCCTTGCGTGAAACAGTCGATGAGGGCGTGTGAATGTGGGGCACATTTCTGAACCTTCAGCTTTCAGATTAGTGGCCTGAGTGGCGATAGAGTAGCAACCCACAACGAGCTCATTCTCCACCCTGTGATAACATCCTGTGTTCTGGTGGCGCACCTACCAAAAGCGATGCACTATTGTGCTAATGCATGCCAGTCGTGTTTATGTGCTCATACAAACGCAAGTAACAGGGAAAATGGTAGCAGAATATGAGTGGGGAATGGTCCTGTTGCCATTGGCAGTTTGCACTGTTTTGACGCATGCTCCTGTTCACAATGATCATGTGCGACGTTGGAAATTTTATAACTGAACTATATGGCGCAAATGCGGCAATTGAGACCTGCCAGGGCTTGGGCCTTAGGTCCATGTAGTAGTCAGTGCACATGCTTCCGTGCAGCCAAGCACTACCAGTGGTAGGCCAGCAGTCAATGGTCAGTGCCACATAGAGGCATCTATCAAAGCCAGCCCAAACAAAAGCAGGCTGCAAAGACAGTGCATTATCCGCACGGAATTCACCATGTGCTTCCTGCCTCTGGACTCACCCGTACTGTGCCCTGGATTCGCCTGACCCCCAAGGCTGGAACTCATCATGCGATGCGCGAACACCCGAATCCAGGATGAACACCGACACCCCGTGGCCTGTTCCCACAATTTTGTCGTAGCCGTATCGATATTCTCCATTCAGAGGCAGTTCCCTCTGGTCCACGCGATCCAAGTTCCAGAGAGCAGGGTGCAAGTATTGGGTCTTTTCGCCCCAGCGGCTGTCTTGGTCCAGGAGCGCCTCCTCGTCCACCTCTGCATTGACACAGCGCTGGTGAATGGCAGGGCATAAGACAAGGGACGGAGCGATTCGGTATCTCTTCATGGCATTGATGCATGCACCGTGTGTTGCATTGTTGATACACGATTTTCAAGCGCCTAACAGGGGTTAGGCGACCCAAAAGAAGCTGTGAAATTAACATCTTTCTGGAATGCAATGACGAATTACAACTTCACGTAATATGTTCTTTCACTATCATACAGAAAGAAGTGCTGCAGGTGCACACAGGGCACAACAGACAACAGGCTGTGGCCACCTTTCTGACCAGCTGGCAATTAATCGAATATTTGACGATATCCATGCGCTTGGCGCCAACGCACCTTGTCCTAGAAAGCTCTTGGACTCTCTGAGAATCCTTCTCCTGTTATTTGCAACAGCTTCTCGCAATGCGTGATTCTCTTCAATGCAAACACAGTGAGACTTTTGAGAATGACAAATGGCAATCCCAGAAGTGCGAGCACCAGCACATGACTGTCGTGTTTCCACTTGTGTGTTCTGGCTTTCCGGACCAGCTGTGCTCTGCAGGTAAATACATCTGCACTTTGCTTTTACAGATGCTATAATGTGCCCAGTCTGCATTTGTCGTCGATCCTCCATCAACATTGCCAACCGAAAGCAGAACTCTTAGCAGTCTCCAAGTTTCCCTTGGCCACTATTGCACACATGCTCTTCAGCACATTCACCACAGCAATATTTGCAGGATGGCTGGCACGTTCTTACTCATGGAAGTCGTGCACCTGGACGCATATCACATCCCAAACCTTCCAAGCGATTGCTATTCCATGAAACAAATTGTCTCTGCGGATATGAGCACTGTCAATGCTCAAGGCACCCTGAGATGAGCACGACACTTTGTGCAAGGCAACTGATAGGGGTACTTACTCGTTTGCATTAGATGTTCAATGCTCGGTTTTGGCCTTTTGTTGTCTGGGAACTCCTCATCCTTTCTTCTGGTCACCTGAAAAGCAGATGTGCCAAATCAATAGGCACATATGTGCACTTATTCACAAATTGCAGTGCAGTGATCGTGTCCATCTAATGACCGCCAATAGGCAGAGCCCCCATGGTTGGTTCCCCTGTTCGTTCTGTGCACTTCCCAGTTGTTTGGAATGTAGCTTGTATTCCATTTGGACAAGGCAGGACCAAGCACTGCACGGTGCCCTGCCAAAAGTGTGTCAGGCAATGACCTGCTGTTCATTTCCGCATATACTGCAGTGCTCGTCGTCAGGATGGCCACGTGGCCCCACAATAGTGCCCAACAGGGCGCTGCCATGGACCCTTGTAAAGCCATTACGGATACTGTACAATACTATATCTGTAATGTGGACAGATGGCAACAATTCAGGCATATTTTAGTCAATGGCATGCCCAACAATGCTCCAGAAATCCCCATGCATCGATTCTTATGAGCGCTAATGTAAACCCCAACTCTCCAAGCCATTGATGCATTGAGCCTGAAGCAGCAGTGTTCAGCCTCGTATCAATCATATTGCACAATAACAATGCCGGTTCGTTTTCACACGGATTCCATATGCCCTGTATCCACAACATACAGGTGGGATCCAGGTTTCAGAGAGCTCGGGTCATGTAAAACTGTCAACTTGAACAGAGCTAAAACAAATGTGTGCATTCAATTACTACAATGGCAGAAGTGGGTCCTCACAGTCATGAGCAGTAGAGAAAATTCACGGCATTGGCACACCAAAGGTGTAGCTGCACTGCGCAAATGTTACAAAATAATGCATATATTGATGCATGGCAGAAGGAATTACTGCATAGCATAATTTCAACTACTGCAGGGGTAACACACACTTGCTGCACAAACAAGATGCTATTTAAAGGCGTGTGCACATCAATTTGTGACGCGCAGTGGAGGCTGCACAAGAGGTGACCACTTCTTCCCCCTGATTGGCACTCATCCCCTAATTAGACAGCAGAAATACCTGGGCCCTAAACGTGATACAATATGTTGGAATACAATGGAGCAATGATCCCCTGGCATGGGAGAACAGCAACCCCTCATCGTTTGGCAGGTAAACGGGCAGCCCTTTCAAATTGCTGTATGCATACCAAAATTGGGATTTGGCCGAAGATGGAAATTTGTGGTGGAAAATTACCTCCCTGTCGGCTTCTATGTACTTCACTCCTCCGTGCATGCATGTGTTAATTATATCCAGATCCGAATCTGAGAAGTTGCCAGAAACACCTGCAATGCCACATCACAATTTTCCATCAGTGGGATGGTAAAGTGGGGCCTGATATGGGATGCCATATGCCACCAGTGTGGGCAGAGATACTTTCTTGCGAGAGTTCAATGATGCAGCTTTGTGATCCAATATCGGGCTCACGTAAGGTGCTGCACTTTGTTGCCGCCTAGTTCTGCATTGGGAGCAGCCTAAACAATGTCCATGATAAGTTGAATACAACTGATCTTCTCATTGATTGCAGTAAACCTTTGTCACAGATCAGCCATAGCTGATGTTCTGTACTTCAGTGTATTCAGCACATCGCACCACTAGCTCCGAGGGTCTGAACAATGGAGATGCATTAATCAATATACATACATAAAACGTTGATGCAACTGCCGACGTTTATGCAATGTTGTGTGTAGAGTGTTATTGATGCAACGCCGAGCAATTTGCAGCAAGGCCAGTGCACCTTCATAGATGCAATGTTCGTACACGCACCAAAGCTTGTCAATACTGGCATAGAGCATTGCTGAAGCGTTGCCCAGCATTGAATAAAGAACAATGAAGCCGCAATATGGCATTAACGTGTACATATTTCCAGATGATTGCCACATCCTGCGCATGGGCGACCAGCACAGAGCGCGTGCACCAATTCCGCTCCTATGCCCATGTGGGCTGCTGAGCATTATTTGCTGTCATACATTTTGTTCTGCATGAACACCAGAATTGTATGAAAAATTGTTTTAGAAGCACGCCCATCGTGTGACGTGCAACCGCTGGAGAGACAGGATTCCGCACAATAATGACCAATGTACTCAGAGAAATCACTGATGGCACAGCAGGACGAGCACAGGCGGCATGAACAACTGTGCTGCGCCCTCTCGCTCCTACCCACCTTTTAAAGATGTTGTGAAAACTCGCTTGCACTGACCTGCGGAACAAACAAGCCCTTCAGCTAGCGGTTGCAGATTGGTTCACTGCGCTGCTCTGTCAAAGAATGCTAACGCAAAACTCGTAAAACAACCTCGCAAGAAACGGCTCCCTGTCAAAAACGCGTGTACTTGAACTTCCTTCTCCTGGCGAGGGTCCCTTTGTGTCCTTAGAAGGCGGGTTTCAAACTGAAACATTTCCCTCCCGTCAAGCCAGTTTCCTCGGAATATCGCCGTGCCTGGCAGTCAATTGTCCCGCAGTGTGTCTGCAAGTTGCTCAACCAGGTCTTGCGCAAACTCATGCCCTCTCCCACCCATTGATGTTGCTAAAGCGACAAAGCATGCACCAACAAGGCCACACAGCTGCGCCTTTCGCAAAAGACCCCAATTCCAATGCGCACGCCAACCCCAATGCGTATAACCCACCGTCCGCGAGCAGGCACTGCTCCGTAACGCCTTCGTAGAACCCCGGGCCCGCAGCCTCGCCGGGCGTGCCCAGCTGACACATCTCCCGCAGCTGTCGAAGATTCTCGGCATCCTGCCGGCGCCACATTCCGCCGCTCAGCCGCGTGGCGCCCGAACGCGCGGCGCGCACCACATGCATGCGCCGCCTTTCTGAATCCATGCAAATCGAACGGGCGTCGCATGCATGCAGCGGGAGGCGGCCCGCGATTCCCAAACACTTGCGGCGGGAAAGCACACCCGTGTTAGGATGCGGACGTGCACCTGAACTCTTGGGAACGCTGTCCCTTTGGGAAATCGAAGAAATCGGTCGCTCGGCCGGGGCGCAACCAATTGGCTGCGATACGGGGAGCGCGCCGGCCTCCCTCGATCCATGGACGCAACACCGCATGGGCCCCTGCGGCCCCCTATCCCCCCCCCTCCCACCTTGACCACCACGATCATAGGAGTCCTGAATTCGTCGCCGGCAGCGTCCGCGCACTCCGCCGGGGCCCTCAGCCCCGCCACCAGCAACAGCGACGCCAGCCATCGGGCCAAGTCGAACGGCAGCCGTTCGCCCATAGTCCCCAAGCCGTCTCAGAAAACTGCCGAGGGAGATGTCCAAGGGAGATACTCCTCAAGCTGGCGGCTATTGCGCGCCGAGGGACCTCTGCGCGCTTTGGCCCCCCCCGCCCCGAGCGTAGCTACGCCTAAGGGGGCGCCTTCCGGGCGTCTCGGCTGCCTGGCCGGCTGGCTGGAGGCGGAGTCCTACGGGCGCATTTTGGTCAGGCGCAGGCGGGTGGCATTGCTTGTCATGCGGACGATAATGCACTGACAGCCGGAATTGGGGCTCCGTGAACGACAATGGTTGGAGGGATCCACGGGTGTGAGGTGACCGCATCCGGGGGCAGCGTCGGTAGCGCCCCTGGTGCCGATGGCTGGGCATGGGAAGAGTGATGGCGGAGTGCGGGACGCACTTGGATTTTGAAGATGGGGTGCATGTACCTGGCGCAGGGGGTGGCGCTTCGGGCTCACCAGGGGAAACCGATATTTTGCGATGCCATTCGATACCCTTTTTCGCGCCATCGCAATCACTGTGCTGGCGACGCTTTGCATCAAAATGGCATCGCAGTTGCCATCGCAGTACACTGTCTCTTGCCATCATGAGTGGTGAAGTCACGTGCTGCGCCAACATCCTGGTTTTGGTTGCTTTCTAATTGCTTTAAATGACTTCAAGTACGTATGTCGCATGACAATCAATAGCCCATGCACCAAACTGGCGGTGTTGGGCAATTGTAAGAAAAAACATGCGGTTGTTGTGCGGTTGGCGTGTTTGCGGTTGGCGTGCTTCACTGGAATCTGGGACGGGACTGGGCGTGCTTGTGAAGGAGACGGCTGCCCATATCACCGTTCCGCTGGAAAAATGGCTGAATCTTCGTGACTGCAGTTTCGAGTGTTGAGCTCTTCATGCTGGCAGTTTGCCCGAAAGTGAATGCGCCAAGAGTCTGCTCCCCATCACAGGAAGAGGCAAAAGAACAAAGGGAGGGGCACATACAGGCAACTCGAGCCGGGGCGGCGAAGTCCTGACGATCGTTAAGTTGCCAAGGATGCGGGGCCGCAAAATGCCACCATTTCCTGACAAGCGCGAATGTATCGCCACTATGCAATCAGTTTAGATTCGGAGATCTCATCCAGACACGGTAGATTCCATGATGATGGTGATCAGATTCCATCAACTGCGTGTCAGCCACCGAGGGCTATGTCGCGAGCCAACCGCACAAGAACAGTGTGTCCATTGTTTGTCCCAGTGTTCGTCTCTCTCGTGCACCGACTATTCGCCTTTGCCACGGTAGATTCCATGCAAAGTGCGTAGAGAAAGGGGACATGGGGGTTGGAGCTGCTGGACGCCTGGAGCCCTCTCGGCCCTGCACTGCTTGTCCTGAAGCCGCACATGGTTCGGTCATGGATTTATGGAGGGTGCACGATCCATGATCCATGAGGGTGCACGATCCGTTTTTGGAAACGCTGGTGAGCGTCTCCGCCGTCGGAAAATGCATCGCACGCCTGAACACAACGTTTTTGACAGCAAGCCCTGCATGTTGAACCGATAAGGTGTGATGCCGTTCCAAAACTTGAGTACATACCGTGCCTACCTTGCATGCTGGCGCGAAGTGGAGGGCTGGCTGCAGTTAGGTCAGATGCAACTGGTTGGGAACGAGAATAAGCAAACGTTCTGTGGGGAATATGCCACAGGTCTTGCAGCCCAAGGGAGGGAAAATGAGCGCAGTTTAGTTTAATCGTGGTGCTGAGAATCAAAGGGGCCAGAAATTCAAATCGTGCTTCATCGGCGTGAACTCGTGCATGACATGCTATGGGTGGGTGGAATCTAAATGGATTAAGAAACGAGAACACAGGAGTTGTCAGATGCAGCCAGCGGTTGCTTTCAGTCCCATTTTGAACGCATAGATCCTAAATGGGCGAAAATGGTGAACGAAATACCGTCAATTTCACGAGACAAATTGCTTGCGGTGCTTTTACAAGATACCTACTTTGGTTACCTTGAAACTGGAATGGCACATTAAACCTATTCATATCAATATCACACTTGCTGAAGCTGCTGGTCTAAGCGCGCAGTACACAATCATCTGCAGCTTTGGCAACAGCCCACGGGCTGATACTGACATTATGAAACGTGGACAATGAGCATGGAGGTGGGAGGGAAAATGCACGAATCAAGTGGCCACTTTTCATTGCGGAAGATTTGAAGCGAGGGCCAGCACGTTTGCCCCCAATATCTTTGAAACTTACTAAAATTCCTTGGTGGGGCGCCGTCAGCCGTGGACGCGGATGGCCCATTGTTTCACTGGAGCCCCAGGACGGAGGCAAATGCAAAGTGGGATCCTATTGTAACAAGTAAGCGGTTCCACGCAGCACTGCCCTGTGTGGTCGGTCGGCCCTGTGGATTCGGGCAGCAGATTTTCACGACTGTGCCAGT